TTTTTTTTTTTTTTTTTAATTGTTATTTCCCCTTCGCTCTGTGTGGAAACAAGTCGTCACCCTCCAAGTAGGGGGACCGGAGTGAATGAATTACTGGCTTCTCTGTCCTTGATTTGAGATATTAAATTTGAAATGTGTTGCTATTCATTGCAACATTTATCCTCAGAAAAAAAAAAAAAAAAAAAAAAAAAATCTTTTTTTTTCTCTGGAGAGATATGTTACTACTACACCGGCACAGTCCCTTTTTTCTCAGTTAGGTTGGTGTGTGTAGATGTCTCTGGGTTTGCGATTATACAAAAGGAATTCAACTAGTAATAAATGATATATTAAAAAAGGAAAAAGGAAAAGGAACAATCAGTCGAGGAATTCTGTTTTTGTCTGTGTGGTTTAAAAAGTTGTAAAGACACAACTTGTACACACCAATGTATTTTATTTCGTGGCGGAATATAGGATAATAACCCCGACTCTTTTTTTTTTCTTTTTCTTTTCGTTATCATCGCCTTTTCTCATTTTTCTTTTTTTTTTTTTTTATCTTTTTCGGATTCGGCGCAACCTTCAGCCAAAAGAACTTGTGTTGAAGAGAAGAAAAAAAAAAAAAAAAAAAACGCCTGCCTGATAGTATTGAGTATAATTTTTTTTTTTTTTTTTTTTACCAAGTGACGTATCAAAGTATAATACCATGCAAATGATTTTGTTTGATTTGACTTTTTTTTTTTTTCTTCTGTCACTAAGTTGTGTGTTTCTCTCTTTATGTATACTATTATTATAATTGTTACTTTCTTGTTATTTGCCTGTTTTCTTTCTTTTTTTTTTTTTTTTCTTTTCTTCTAGTGAGTCGGGCAAGCTGCACGATATAACACTCACTTCTCTGTGGGGCGGCAAGAACAGAATCTGCTGGCTCTGCATACACACAAGGTAACAAAAATAGCCAAACGTTGTCTTTTCTCTATTCTCCATTTCTCATCCCTCGTGTGAATGACACCTGTGCTTTACACTATTCTTATTCTTATTCTTCGCGTTGTGTTGTGCTCATTACTACTGGAGGTGGCGGCCGCAGATTCACGACGGCTTCTCACGATTGGACTGGTCGCTGATAATCACTACGACACATTTCCCGCCGGTGAAAAGGCCCCATGGGAGAGTATGCACCACTGGTTGATTGAACAGAGAAAGCGGACGACTACAACTAAACTGCGACGCTACGATGTTGCGAAGGATAAGATGGATGAGGCTGTGGGACTATTTAATAGTATTCCAGACATGAATGTAGTGGTGAATCTTGGGGATCTCGTTAATAATGATATGATGTGGAATTTAAAACCTATACTAGATAGTTTTCATCGTACAAAAGTACCACATTATAGTATTTTAGGTAATCACGATCTTCGTGGTCATAATGATCGTTTTGGTAAAATAAATAAAACACAGGAAAAGTGGGTAATGAATAAATTAGGACTTCATCGTTGGTATTATACGATTGATCATCCACCATTTCGTTTTATTTTTATGGATTCCATGACGAATGATCCAGAAAATACAAATATAACGACAAAGGAAGAACAAACAAAATGGCTAAAAGAGGAATTAGATAAAGCTAAATCTGATGGACGTGTAACAATTCTTTTTGCTCATATCCCTATAGGATTTAAAACGAACCGTTTAGGTCCACTTTTATTACAATATGATCAAATGCCATTAGTTTTTTCTGGTCATAATCATAAGGGAGATTATGTGATACAAGGACCACATCGTGTGCATTGTGTTACTTTAGCTGGTCAAATTGAAACTTTATCTAATGCCTATGCTGTAGTAGAAATATTTGAGGATCGCGCAGAATTAACAGGTTTCGGTCGTGTACCTTCACGTATTATGTATTTTCAACCAAATGTAGTAGATATACTTCGTAAATACAAAGGGGAGTTAAAACATGATTTGAGTGCGCAAGGTTGTCAACCACCTCCTCCGGATAAGTTATGGGCCAATGAAGTTCTCCAAAAACCACCTGATCTACAATTAAATATTCCCTATTATAGAAAACCAAATCTTCCTCCTGCTAATGCAAATTCCCCACCACAAACCAGGTTTTTCATCGAAATATTGCCTAAATTAAATAGAGGAACGGGAGGTATTAGAGGTCCAGAAGAAACAGTAGATCTTACTTCAGCAACAGATAAAAGAACATGGTTAATAAATGGTACAAGAATTGTTAATGACACAGAACCATTAAGGAATAATATTAGTTCTATTTCTGCTTCTGTCCATAATGTTGGTGTTGTTGATGGTAGCGGTGTTGTTGTTGTTGACGGTAGTGATGGTGGTAACGATGAAAGTATCACAAAGATTATTCAGAAGGAAACTATTACTGATACTGATTTGGACCAAGAAATGGAACTATTTTTAAAGCTTGTCCTTTGTACACCTATTGTGGCTTTGTTTCTTTTATTGCTATGTACATTAAGTAAAGGACGCCGTTTAAAAAGACGTTAGTAAGGAAGGGAGAATTCCGTATATCTTAAGAGTTAAATTTTAAATTTACAGGTGGGGTACGAATTCTCCAATATTATCAAACCAGAGAAAGGGGAAAAGAAAAAAAAAGAAAAGAGAAGAAAAGATAACAAAAAAAAAATATATATAAAGATTAAGAATATATATATATATTATTTCTCTGTAGTACTGGTACCGGTACTAGTTAGCGTTGTTGAGATTCCAACCACCAACAGGGGGGGTGGTTGTTGGTTCTCTCTTTCTTTCTATTTTACTTACTCACTTTCGGTTTTTTTTTTTTTCTTATTCTTTTCTTTTTTCTATTTTTGAATTTTTTGCAAATTTCTTCTTCTTTTTTTTCTTTTCTTTGGCATTTTCTCTTCCCCTCCCTTTCCCATCGCCCCGTGGGGATGTAGCTCAGATGGTAGAGCGCCCGCTTAGCATGCGGGAGGTATTGGGATCGATACCCAACTTCTCCAGTTTTTCGTCTCTTTATTGTTTATTATTATTATTGGATTGTGAGTGTTGTTGTATTTTTTTTTTTTTTTTTTTTTTTGATTATATTTATTCAGTATGATTGGAATTTGTAATGTTATTTCGATAATCTCTCATTGATATTTTATTTGGTTTCTCTTCTTAATGTTACCTCTCTCGTCTCTTTTTTTTTGTAATTAAAGAAGGTACAAGGAAAAAAGAGGTTTAAAAAAACAAAACAAAAAAAAAAACAAAGAATAAATGGGTCTGGAGACAAATTCTAGCGTTAACGTTTATATTGGTTTACATTCATGGCCATCTACTCATCGACAGTTTACATCCTCCAAAGATTCTGTAATCAAAACTATTACTAGTGACGAAGAGAATAAAAATGAAGATAATAATGATGAACTTGATGAAGAAATTGAAAGAGTCATTAGGTGTAATAATTCCCCATATATTATATTACCAAACTGTGTACAGATGCATGGGAGTGGTTTGCGTCTTTTACTACATTCTGGATGTGTTGATAGTGATACTACCGCCAGTAAATTAAAAGAAGATGCTTGGGATGAGTTATGGCGTAGTGGTTCTTTTTGGTTACTCTGTTGTGCTGCACCTAATAATAATCTCCATGAGGAAGAAAAAGATGAAAGAGAAAAAAAAGAAGAAAAAGAAGTAGGAGGAAGTAATCCTAATCTCTTTAATAGTCTTAGAGGATCAGAAGAATCAATGCTGCAGTACCTAGTGATGCGACTCTTTGATATTGTTTCACATCTGTCAGTTTCTGTAATAAGATGGACAGAAGGAGGCGAAGAGTCATCAACGAATACAGTACATTCACCATTTTGGAGAAATTCATATCAAAAGAATGATGAATTTACAGATATGGATTCATTATTAAGATTTATAAGAGAATATTTAACAGAAAATAGGAAAGAATCCTTAACATTTTCATTTTCTCTGGTAAGTATTACCTTTTCTACTTCGACATCAGAAAAGAAATATGAAATTGTTATAACTAGTGTAAATGCTCGATATGATATACTCTCAGTAAATACATCTAATTCACTTATTGCAGTACGTACTTTATTTACAAATATAGCCCATATATCCATGAATGACTCTTATGAAAAAGAAGAGAATAAATATAGTATCCTTAAACAGTTAAACTTATATCTAACGGATTTACTTCCTGAAGAAGTTCTTCATTTTATTCTTATACATTGTAATGTATGGAATAAAGAGGATAAATTGAATTATCTTGGAGCAAATCCTCCACGAGTAGTTTATGCTATATTGGAAACTCATGATGGTGTTATTGTAAGAGAGGGAGTAGATAAAAATGCAAACTATTATGAAAGTACCTGTATAGAAATTGTTCGACATCTCTCTTTTTGGTGCTCATTAGGCACATCCAAAGTATATGAAAACACTAATAAAAACGTTAGCAATCATAATGAAGATTACCAAAATACTGTAAAGGATTCTAAATATTCTTCTCACAATACACTAAATCAGATTAAATACAATCTTTTGACACTCTTAATAGATACTGAACATTTCCCTCAATTGATAAAGGATTGGGAAAGGTCAAATAATAATAATAATAAGGGAGGTGACGTAATGATATCGAAGAGTATATTTCTTGAAACTCTTGAACGGGTTCATCGCAAAGAAGAGCAAACAAGACAGAATGGATTACAAGATCGAGTACGTCGTATTCTCTCCTCTAGACCACGTAATAGTAATCTCTCAAGACGTCAGTTTTCAGCTGTTAATATGACACTTAAATTATTTGGCGTGGAAAATGAGGCTTTATTGTGGTGTCAGAAGCTTGAAGAGAAGTATTATACTCTTCTTCATAGAGTTTTCTACAAAGATTGGGAAATTCAGTGCGATACTCTCTCAACTCAAGGAAGAAACTCTTACCAAGAGCAGGAACAACGACAACAACAACAAGAAGAAGAAGAAGAAGAAGAAAATAAGAGTTGTAGCACCTTCAAAGAAAATGAATTGACCCAAATAATAAAAAGATCTCAACAACAACAACATAATGACGTACATCTTCCTATTGTTATTTTATCAGTAAAAAATAGAGAATCTTCCTCATCGTTTTCTCCTTATTCTTTTAAATTAACATCATCTTCATTATTTCCGAGTCTGGGATGTGAGTTGATGTTAACACCGGGACATAATTCGTTTAGACGTTTAAGTGAGGTTGAGAATATTAAACGACTTTTAATAATGATTAATGCCGCTGACTCATTGCAATTGTTATTATTCTCAAGTTTACATCATATGCGATGTTACAATAATCAACTGATGACATCTTTAAATGAATATGTTTCTACACAACACGATATAGATAATTTGACATCACAAGAGAATAAATTTCCAACATTGAGTCAAGAAAATCAATTATTTCAAGAATTTATCCAGCAACGTCTAAGTAATTATACGGATTTTCCACTTGTGTTGGAATACATATATGAAAAAATACACTGGTTCACTAAATCTATTTTTCATTTGCAACAGCAGAATAAAGAAACGGTTTTTCAGAACTCTTCATTAAAAAAAATTGACGCGGTAACGCAAACTTCTATTGCCTCATTGGAATTACCTATTCAAGAGAAGGATGGTGATATGGACTGTTGTGGTCCAGAGGAATCTCTGACAGTGAAAAGTGAAACATCACGTCATCGTGCATTGGAGGAAGTATCGTCAACGACCACTTCAGCGTATACCTCGGAATATGAAGAGAATACTCCTTTTCAACAACAAGAAGAAAAGTATATTGTAAAGGATAATTTAGTCTCCTATCCTGATGTACAGGAAAAGGGTGTAGTGGAGAAAGAAAGAATGCATACTCTAGTTTTGGGAGAAAAGAATGCAGAGAAATTAAGAGTACTTGCAGAGTATAATGATTATAAGGAATTTCTAAAAGGTTTGACTTTTATTGGTAGATCTCACCGTTTACGTCGTGATGATATCAATACGGAGGGAAAACAACAACGTGGATACCGACTATTACTATCCACAGGACGTAGCGTAGAGGCTGAAAAATATCATTATAAGAGTGGGGATTCTCTGCCTGCTCTCAGTTTCTCTGATATTACAGAAGAACGTAAACATTGGAGTAAACCAGAAGTTCTGGATGATTATAGAAAACTATTAGCATATAATATATATCTAGTTGGTGAAGTAGGATGTGGAAAATCTACTCTGGTACACTCTCTTGTGGTTAATAATTCTTCTTGTACGTCTCCACCTATAGTGACACCCCATACAATGACAATGGAACGAACTTCTTTCATTGTGAAGATACCAATTCAGAAAGAATTGTTACCTTTGGGAGGATATAGAAATATTACCTTATCTAATATACAAAAATGGATATCTTTGGATTCTAAAAAAAATATGAATCCCTGTAGTGTTGGTGTAAATATTATTGAAACGCCAACACCTTTACTAATAGCAGCCTCTACAGGAAATGTGAAACTACCTATTAGGGGAACTGTATACTACATTGTATATCATCTACAAGATAATTGGGAAACTATACAATGTACCATTAGGAAATATATGTTGGCATTACAGTCAGCTGTAATACAATCAAGTCCTCATATTATAAATATCTTACAATCATCTAATAGTGATGTGAAGGATATGAACTTTGGGCAAGAATCACTCCCTTTACCAGTAGTGCTTATTGGGACTCATGCTGATATTGCATTTGATAATGTCTCCATGGCTCAAGAAAGATTATTTCAACTTCGACAGTGGTTTGAAGAAGAATGCATAAAACTGAGAGAAAAAACAGGAAAAGACAAACCGCATTTATTTCTGGTAGATTCATATTTTACAAGTACACTGAATGGTACGGTGATCAGTGAACATCCTGGAGTATCTACAACTTTTGAGTCTTTACTGTGGCGTACATTATGGTTTCTTCATTATACTGCACCATTAAATCCAATGCATATAGTAGCACGGTGGTTACCGCAGATGTTTTTCAAAGAACTTGGAGTACAAAACGAAATAAATGGTGTCAATCAAGAAAGTGATGATCCGCAAACTTTATGGAGTAATATTTACAGGACGAATGGTACTCTTGAAGAGTTTTGGGAAACAATACAATCTCAGCATGGAAAACAAGATCAAGATAATCGTAATATGTTAATAATACCTCCAGAAATGTCAAGTGTATGGTGGAAACGTGGTTCAGAGGGTCTTCTTGTACTTTTTACTGCACTTCAGCGATTACGTCAATTTATTTCATGTTCTTTTGATGAACAATCGTTAGATGATGCTGTGTTGTATCATTTAGGGTTTGTTCTTCCTGATGATCCAGATGAAACAACTGTGGATGAACAAGACGAAAATGAAGAAGAAGAAGAGGAATTATATCTCCGTCTGAGAGATATATTTTTGGAATCTATTTTTGAAGAATGTCGTCTTCGTGGGGTGTTGTTGTTTCTTCCACACACTTCTACTTCTTTAACCCCACATGTAAAGGAGGATTCTCATGATAACACTAACACAACAACAATAACAAGAACAACACCAACGCAGCGTATGGTGATTGTTGGACCCGAATGGGTGGAGAATCTCTGGTCGCAGACATTAGCACCTGCGCTGGTGGTACATCACACCTCATCTCTTCTGCAGAGTTCAACGGAAAGAGTAAAGGATGTGTTAATGATTGTGTTAAAAGAGTCTCTCAATCAGCTTGGAGTTAAGATGCCGGCAATGTACTTTGCCTGTGTGTGGCCACAGTTGGAAGAATCTATACGAGAGGATGTGATGGAAACAGCTGCTGATGCAAATTATAATATCCACAAAATGCAGGAGTATTTTTCATTGTATTTTAATAAAAGTTTAGTTTCATTAGAGTTATTGCAGCTCTTCTGGCAACCTCCACACGGAGTTCTTACCACGAAAAGAGAAACTGCAGCAATGGGGTTGATAGCCTCTGGATTAACGTACGAAAGTGAAGTTTTTGAAAAGGAGAAACTGAGTGGGAATAATGAAGAATTGTTCTTTAAGGTACCCTGTATAAACTTGAAAAATGAGAACACCTCGTAGGGTGTAGAATGATGAGTCAATGAATGAAGAATACTTGTTGTAACTTTAATTTTATTCCTTTCTATACTAACTTTTATCTCTCTGTCTTTATTTATATTTACGTCTATTTCCTTTTTTTCTATATCGTATTGTTTTTATTATTATTATTATTATTATTATTATTATTATTATTATTATTGTTTCTATACTTTCAATGCCGTCAAGAAGAGGTGTGGGAATACCTTTTTATTTTATTTTTTTTATTCTCTCTTTGTCTCTCTCTCTCTCTCTCTGTGGGTTTGTGGTATTATTATGTTTTTCTACTTTTTTTTTCTCTCTCTCTCTCTCTCTCTCTCTCTTTTTTTTTTCATTGTGTAGCTGAGATCACCTGAAACGACAATGTCCAGCTGCGATAATCCCCGTGAGTATCTTGCCGCTCTCGTGATTGAGATTGCGAAGGTGATGGAAAATGTAACGTACAGGCGATACATGGAGCCCCGCTTGTCAACGAGAGAAAAGGCACAACTGTGGGCACTGCGCAGTCAAGCACTCTTCGGTGATGCACCTGATGACTATGAAGTGAAAGAAAAACAGGAAAATCGAAAAAATAGCGAAACAGAGAAATCAACTTCAAAAAGAATCTCTTCTGTTACTGGATTTTCCTTACCACTACCACCAACCCATTGGTATCAGTTCAGTGCACGTTTCTATTTCGCAGCATGGAAGGCATTGCGAGGAACGATGACTCCGCAAGTGGCAGCTGAAACATTTTGTACAGAATTTTTTTATTTATTGAAACTTCATAGTGTTCCTGCTATGCTTCCTCTTATGGAATCTGCTCTTAATACGGCTCGAGCAAAGGCTACAGCTATTATTAATCATACTAATACTACTTCTACAAGTAGTACTAGTCCTGTGGCCGAAGGTGGTATAGTAGATAGTGATCATCGTATTCGTGAACTTAAAGTATGTAATGATGGATTCCATGTACGTGGATGCTTTGAAGATCCTGTGGTGATTGCCTTTATTTGGCTCTGCAGAGCACATTGTATACCTTGTGAAGTTGTTTTTGAACCACTTCCTGTAAAGTCCTCACTTGGCGAAGAAAATTTATTTCTTGTTAAATCGTTAAAGTATGGGACCATTGTTACGGAACCCTTGGCAGCGTTTTTCCTTTGTGTAAAATTGTATTTACCTCATAGTGATCACTGGCTTGGTGTACTACCTCTTTCTCAGACGAACACCTCCTCTTCCTCCTCTTATGCAGATCATGCAATAGAGAGAAGTACATGGATGGAGTACATGCAACACATTCTAACAGATCTCCGAATTCCACTCCTTCAGTATATGAGAGAAGTGCTGTGGCAACAGAAACTTAATGAAAAATCAAAAGGATTGAAGTTATCCCCACGACGTACAGGAAGAGGTTCTCAATTAGAAATGAAACGTACCTCATTTGATTTACTGCGATCTAGGGATGATATATCAAGAACAGTGATGTCATCCATTATTCGTTTTGAAAATTTTGCGATTCATTACTATAAGAAACGCTCCAAGTGTACAATTTCTGTAGCTGAGCTTTGTGTGGCTGCGTATGGATATATTTTTTGCACCAATCCATTGAGTAGTCCTTTATTCCCTCTTGCTGTGGTTATACCTTCCGTCTCTAAACAAATTGGGATGAACATAGATTCAAAATTAACACAACGTGGTTCTTTATTGACAGGTGCATTATCAGTAGAACCAATGCGAATGTCACCACTAAATACTACAGCTTTGTTAAATGGAATTCCGAAAAAATATCAAGAGATTGCAACTCAAATTTTACATGGTGCCAATGCTACACAAACAGCAGCACCAATGACGTTTCGTATTAATGAAGAGAATACAGGAATTGAAAATATGAATAAGAAAAAGGTATCACCGTTTGGTATTAAGTTTCTTCACGTTGATTCTGCGTGGAGTGGTGTAGCCGCTGGTACAAGTCAAGCAGCTGTAGAAGTAATTGATTGCTTGATTCAAACAAACTGTTCTCCTATGCGGCATCGCTTTGCTCAGATATTATCCTATGCATGGCGGACAGCAAATGAGCAGTGTATTGGTTTTCCTTTTCTTGTGCTTGATAAGGAGCAACAGGCTTTTCTAGCTCCTTCAAATGTTGAGAGTAGTGCTTTTGCACGTGAAAGGGCTTCTTGGAATGAAGAAAGCATCGTCAAAATGGCTAGAGTATATTGGTCGAAATTACGTACAGCATTTGGCATGCCATCATCATCATCATCGTCATCTGAACAGAGGGTCTACTCTGGTCTAATGTCGAGGTTGTGAGGTGAGGCGTGCGGTTTCTTTTTTTTTTTTATTAATTATTATAATTGATATTATGGTTTTACTATTATTATTTATTTAGGTGTTTGAACGTAGAATGTGTGAGAAAAAAATCATGTGTTCTTGCCTGATATGTGGATGGAAAGGATATTCCTGGGAAATGGAACGTATGGGACACTGAAATGAAATTAGAAATAAAATTAAACAATAAAAGAAAAAAAGAAAATATATCTACTTTTGTTTTCTTTTTTTTTTTTTTTTTTTTTTTTTTTTTTTGATTTGTTGGCGTTTTTCTCTTCAAAAGAGTTTATGAATCGGTTGCTACCTTCTTCATCATCATCATCATTCTCCCCACCAGTTTGGTGGATACAAGTTCGAGGTTGTTGTTGTTGTCGTTGTTGTCGTCATCGCTTTGAAATACAAAAAAAAAAGAAATTATTTTTACGGGGAACCATTTCTTCTTTCGGTTCTTTCCTCTTTTTTTTTTTTTTTTTTTTTTTTCCACCGTTGGTGTTGTTTTTTGTTGATGTTTTTCTCTTGACACTGTTTTTTTTTTTCTTGTTTGTTTGTTTGTTTTTCTTCTTCATATATATATATATATATATATATATATATAAATGTGTACTCTTTTTATTTCTACCTTTTTTTTTATTTTGTTGGTAATTGATATGTAATGAAAAGAAAGAGGAATGTCGATGAAAGTGCGGCATTTTGTGAAGATCACCGTTGCTGTGGCCATCGGCTACGTTGCCTATCGTGGTATGCGAAGTTTTCTTCGTAATGATATCACACTGAGTCTCACGGAGGTGGTGCACTTACTTCCGAGTGAACGCACTATTGAGATGGATGAGGGAACGGAAGTGCATGGAGAGATTCAGTGTGAAACGTATTTGATGCGCAGTTACCGTTTTCTTATGAAATTAACAGCAAACGTGAAGGGAGACATAGTTGTGCCCAACACTAAAGTACGATCTCGTCATCGTGTCATGCATGCAACAGAAAATGGTAGCTATCGAAACTTGACACATTCTATTGGGAGTAAAAAACGAGATGGTTCTCCCAGCATTATTGTGACGAACTTAAATCCCATGGTTGATGGTTGGGAACTTGCAAGCAGTGGAAATCTATGTTTTACTCCCGCATGTATTGGAGATGAAGTCCTATTATGTTATGAAGGAACAGTTAAAGCAGGAACGATGCCTAATGCGGTGGTAAGAAATTGTTATCTTCACCCAGATGATACACCAGGCCTAAAGAGACTCGTATTTGATCTAGTCGTCTATGATGTTGTACACGCCGTGCGGGTAAATGTCAAGTTACCCAATCACTATTGTGATGTGGTGGCAGTTCATACGAGTGGTGTTGGTCGTGTTCATCAGCCCAATCCACGCAAACCACATCATCTCATGTGGGAAATTGGCACTGTTGATGAGACGACGTGGAAGGGTGTGAATTCACTGGGGCCTGGTGTATTGCCAGAGGCGCGACTCGCCCGTCGTGGATTTACGGATGATGATTTAGCCGAAGCCGCACTGCGAAGCAACAAGGAGATGGATGGTAGTAGTACGATGGGGCATACACACTTTATATCCGATACTGCAGAGTCTCGATTTGAGGATACCATGGATCGTGACAGTAAAAAGAACAAAAGCAGTTCAAATGATTACGATTTAGGAACTGGTATGAATGCTAATGAATCCAGCAGTAGTATGCCCTTTCACCGTGAACGATCTGGGTTACCAGAAGGTACTCATCTTCTTATCGCCAACTTCATCCTTGTCTTTGAAGAGCCTGATGGAATGGAATATGACTACGTCTCCAGTGACTCGGATGTAGATAATATGGATGATGAACTCACTTCACATGAAGTGCATAACAGTAAAAAGCATAAAGACGGAAGAGAAATGTCTCCAACTCGTGGAGGATCTACCAAAAAGTCTGCAAAACGTGAAGAACGTGCCCGAAAAAAACAACAACTACGACAACGTAGTGTTGATTCCATTCTTACCTCAGGAAGAGGGGTTTCCACATATCTGCCAGAAGTTGAATTTTCATACAGTATCGCTAGTCTCGCCTCTGGAATGACGATACGAAAACTCCAAACAGTGAGTGAGCGACCTAATTGGGTTCCACGCTCTTTACTTGATTCTTGGCTGCTGCGATGGATGATTCCAGGTATTCATAAACTACGATTAGGGAAATATGCTCACTACACCACGTGGTTCGTACAGCCTGTTGTCATTTCAACCCTCTGATAAGGTGCCTGTGAAAGTTCTTACACTACACTTATTAGCAGAGGGAAGAAGAAGAAGAGGAAATTCTCAGTTTTTTTCTGTGCAGGCATCTCTTTATATGTGGTCTGGGATTGTGGGAAAGAGGTTAAGACAGAAGGAAAGCGAAAAAGAAAAAAAAAAAGAAAAAAAAAACGAGAGATGAGGGTGGGAGAAGGGAAGGGAAAATCTCAAGAGAGGTTTAGGTTAATGAGACTGGTTGTCACTGGGTGAATTCAGTATCTTACTCCATGAAAGAAAAAAGAAGAAAAAAAATGAAAACGAAAAATGGTTTATCACTAAGGTGGATTACATACATGTTATATAATCTTACAGTGAATATAGTTTAATCATTCAGTTGCCACCGTCGCTCCTTTTTGTGACTGTAAACATCTCCAGAGAAAAGGATGATTAAGGGGGGAAAAAAGAAAGAAAGAAAAAAAATAAATAAAAGAAGTGATACGCTTGTATATATGTGTGTGTGTGTCTGTGTTGGTGTGTAGAATAGAAGTGGTGATGATAAGAAAAGAAAAAAATAATTGGAGAATACATTACAAAGTGGGGAGGGGATTTCAGAAGCAATACAAAAAGAAGAGAAATAAACAAACAGAAACAAAAAAAGAAGAAAAAACACTCACAAATCAAAGACAAAAGTTTATGAGGAATGATTATCTAAAATAGAGATAAACCCATTGCAGGAGAATAAGACCACACATATTACTGTAAAATATAACAAACAAAAAAAAAAAAAATTACAATAATATCTTGTCTGTATGTACTGTTCTTCGGCATTTCTTCTCTCTGTTTCTCTTGTGACTAAGAAACACGAATGATTAGCGTAGAAAGAAAGGGGGAATGCCAAAAAAAAAAAAAAAAGTGATATCTAGAAAATTGCAGGAATAATCACTTTTATCTCTATATCTTTTTTTTTGTGTGTGTGTATGTGAAAGGTTCATTAACGCGTATATTGCGGCTGAGTACCTTTTTTCTTTCTTTTTTTTTGCATCTTTTTTTCCGTTGTTACTTTGTTTTGTTTGACTGCTTTGGTGTGTATTGTCAATATGAATGAGTCGTCTGTTGTTTTTGTTGTTGAAATCGATGCTTCTTTTTTTTCTTTTCTTTTTCTACCATTATTCCCTTACTCGTCTGCTTTTTTCCTCTCCCCTTTCTGTTTTTCCATGTTCTTGTTAATAGTTGAATGTGCTCTTGCAGATAGTGACAAAACTTGTGTATACTACATTTCTCTCTTAAAATTAAATTGTTTTGTTATTACGTTTTTGTTTTCTTTTGTGTACCTCTCTCTTTTTTTTTTTTTTTTTGCTTTTCTTCCTTTTTTTTCTTAATGTATGTACGGATGTGGTAAAGGGAAAGAGCAAAGTGAGGAGTTTTACAGATAGACAAAACGATGTCAGACTGTGAGAACAGCAATCAGAAGATTCATAATCATCATCAAGAAAATAATAATAATAATAATAATAGTAGTAGTGATGATGATGATGATGAAGACTTTCTACCTTCTATTCCAGAGGCCTTATTACATAATTCGCAGAATGAAACCGCAGTCGCAGGAATGTGTTCTGCAGAAATAACACGGGAGAAACGGCCCCGTTCCCCGAGTGGAGAACATGAAACCCTCAATAGTAATAATAACGACAATATACATAAGGAAATAGCAGAAGATGTGAATATGATAGAATCTGATGATAAGAAAGAGGAGATGTGTGTTATGAAATTACTCAATAGTGAAGGATATCCAACACCTTCACTATACGAACGTAGTTACCGCCATGATTCTATTATACATGATGTGGCTCTCGTGAAGGATGAACTTGGTGCTTTGATTGTTACAGTAGATGCGATGGGAACACTACGTGCTTGGCGTAAACTTCCACGTGGTGTATTTTTCATGGGAGAACGTCAAGGTCTTTTCCCACAAAGTGATACAGATCAAGAAAGAGAAATGAAGAAGTTGGTAGAGCACCACGTATTAGCGGATTCTCTTACCTCTTCCCTTTTTGTAGTTCGAGTTACACCACGTGTGGAGATGATAGCTGGAGTTGTGACAGTATTTGTGGAGATTCGTCGAGTGAACCCTACTTTAATGGCGGTAGAGTCACGTTTGTCTTTTCAATTTAGTGCCACTCTTCGAAATAAGAAGGCATTATCATACTGGAAAGAAACTGTTACTCCACAACCCTTCTTATTGCATTATGAATATGAACCATATATTGTTTTTTTCACATCGGAACCAAATGGATCTAGTGGTGTAATTTTATTCCCATGCTTCAGCAAGAGAAGTTTAGGTGATAATGCAGTTGCAACACTTTTACCATCTCGTCCATTAAGTACCGCTAATATTGTTTTATGTTGTCAACAACATCGTCCAAGTGGATTAGTCGTTTTGGTAGATGAAAAGGGTATTATTGACTACGCACGTATGATGACATCATGTGATGATGAAGGGAATATGATTATCTCTCTTAGTGTTGTTCCTGGTGTCCCATCTCGTGGTGCAGCAGATCCAATGATGTTACGCAAATGGATTACATTTGAGCGTCGACAAAAAACAGGTTTTTTCACCTTACTTCGTGAATCCGTTACGAATGTCAAATCATGCAAAACAATGATACCACTCAGTGTTCGTTTCTCTCCAAGTGGAAAATATTTTGTGGTGACAAGTTGTATTTTATACAATGCTTGTGTGTGTGTATGTTCACATTTGTTTGACTTTGCTAGTGGAGGCTTTCTCTGCCGTGGTGAGACGGAGGAGGTGAGTGTGCCGCAGTTGCGGGATGAAGAGTCCAAAGCAGCAGCACTCTTATCACTGCGAGGTGCGGTGTTTGATGTTGTGGTGGAAGAGGCGGTTGGGAAAGTCCCACAGAGCGGTAGAGTTGGGGGTGTGTGGGTGTTTGTGCCGGAGATCGGCGTGACTTCCTGCTCAGAAGAGCGGGTCGGCGGCAGACGCATATATGTATTTAGAGCCTCCATACCAACAACAACTACAACAACTAGTAGTAATAGTACAAAGATGGAGCTCCACATGGAACAATTACCACGTCAAATTGGAGATGTTGAGAAGAACATTCGTGAAACTCCACTGCAAGGTGTGTTATCAACAACAACAACAACAACAACAACAACAACAACAAGAAAATTTTCTAACTCTTGGCGTTTAGCTGCGCCATTGGTATTACTTCGACTTGCCATTCCCGCAAGTCAAGCATTGAAAAATCTTGTAGCGCAATCTCCTGTTGGTTTGGCACTTTCACAGGAGGATGTTAAACGCCTTTTCGTTGTGCCAAGCAGTGCGGATCTTGCTGCCGTTGCTGCTGCTGCTGCTGCTAATGGTGGAAGTACTTCTTGCGTTGGTGCTGATGATCCAATGTTCTGCACTACCTCACTTGGAGAAAATGCCCTTCTCTTGTATACAAACTATGAGGCTTCTATTGAAGGCATCGCATTGGGAAGAGATATTATAGATACAGCCACTGCAGATATGGATGCAGATATGTTAAAGTTAGAACAGATACGTCATGAAAAGATTTTAACAGAATTAACTCAGAAGCGTGATTTTAATTGTGGAGATCTGCAGCAGTTACAGTCCTCTGTTCAGGCTGTGGCACCACGGGAAACAGAAGAGACAGATAATAGAGAACAAGATAAGAAAGAGTCCATATCTACAAGAGAAAATGATATTTATGAGGAAGAAGACACAGATGTAGAGGATCGTCGAGTAAAACATATTATTACGGCATCTACATCACGTAATATAGAATGGGGAGATACAAGTATGTATGCCTCTTTCTATGTGAGTTCCTTTGGAAAAATTACGGTACACCTTATGCCATCTTTTGCTCCAAAAACTGTTGAAAATTTTATTGGATTAGTTCGTCAAGGATTTTATGATGGTTTAACATTTCATCGTGTTGTACCAGGGTTTATGATTCAGGGAGGATGTCCAATGGGGGATGGTACTGGTGGGAAGAGTATTTTTGGTGGGACTTTTGAGGATGAAGGGTTAAACATAATGGAGTATTTTCTCTATCCAAGTGTTTATTGGCTTTGTATGGCGAATCGTGGACCCAATACGAATGAATCGCAGTTTTTTATTACGGTTGGAGAAACTGCACCGTGGTTGAATGGTAAACACACTGTTTTTGGATTTGTGGTGGGAGGGAAGTCGGTGGTACAGGCAATCGTGCAGACACCAAAAGGGGAGGATGACAAACCACTGACACCCGTTGTGATGGAACGTGTCGTGGTTACAGAGAAATCTAATAACAACTGACACATGATCTAACAAGAAAAAAGAAAAAGGACTTGAAGTGAATAGTCTCTTACCAGGAATGTGTCAGGGGAGGGTAAAAAGAAAAAAAAAGAAGAAGAAGAAACGAAATAAAAAACGAGTAAAATAGCTAGGTTCTGCAAGTAAAATGTGTTAACTTTATTTGTCACCAAGTTCGAGTTATGTTTATATGTGTACGTAGATTTTTTTTTTTGTTTCATTTGTTTTTTGATTTGTTTTGTTATTATCATTATTCTTATTATTATTATTGTTATTATTATTACTATCAATAGTAGTAGTAGGAATATAGTTGATTTTTCCTGTCTTTTTTTTTAATCTTAGGATTTAATTTTATACATTATTAATAGCGATAGTAGAAATTATTTTTAGTTGTAGTGAAAGTGTGAACTGTTTGTGTGTGTGTGTGTGTGTGTGAAAAAAAAAAAAAGAGAGAGAGAGAGAGAGAGAGAGAGGGAAGGAGTAGTGTTTAATGTTGGAAGCCATGTTTGATTATGACAAACTGGTATGGACAATATTCTTTCCAGTCTTCTGTTCACTGGCCATGTGGTTTTCAATAGTATTGGCGCTTCTATTACGCTCAGATGCTGGTTGCGCGAGGCGAGAAACTGCTCGACGGACCATTCTTGATATTGAGCATTCTGGGATGCCAGTTCCTGCTTCCTTTCATAGGTACACAAAGGCAGTATTACGCCGCGCTATTGTTGTCGTGGGTGGAGACTTTGCTAGATCACCCCGCATGCAGTATCACGCTGCTAGTTTGGCAAAAAGTGGGATGTTTGATGAGGTTGTTTTGGTGGGATTTGATATGGGAAATACGCTTATTCATTCTCTAGAGTCTATGCGTTCTAGTTCTACGGATACGGATTTTATTTATCTTAGAGAGCATGATCCTCCTAGAGAGGAATATAGTTGCATCATTGATACAAGTTGCTTAATACCACCAATAACTCCTCCTCCTTTTTTTCGTTTTCTTTTTCCTCATCCACGTCTTTATTGGGTGATGTCAACATTATATCGTATGTCTATCTGTGCTGTTGTTTTTGCTTGGTTGATTATCCGTGCCTCCTTAATGGTGGTTAATAAACATGGTCAACTACTTTTAGCTGATCTTATTTTGGTACAATTACCCCCAGCTGTGCCTTTTGTTCCTATTATAAAATACCTTGTTCGCCCTTGCGTATTAATAGTAAATACAATACTGTACTATTGCTTTATAATACCTGCTTCATGGATGAAGAAAACTGCATTCAGTGAAATACATGAAGGATTAAAACTTCAACAAGAATTAAAAGAGAATAAAAATAGAAAAACTTCTTCACGGTTGGTAATGTGTCCTGCTCTAATTGTGGATTGGCACAATTTTGGATTTACAATTATGCAAAATGATGGTAGACCTTCTATAATGGTTTGGATCTATCGCTTCTTTGAGTGTAATTTATGCATTGGAAATGGTAATGTGACTGTTAGCCAAGCTATGCGAACAGCTCTTTGCCAAAGAGAAGAAAATAATGCAAGTAAAGAAATAGATTTTAAATCTAAAAAAAATCAAGTTGTGGTGTTGTATGATACAGCTCCATCTTTTTTTGGTCCTTGCTCACGAAGTCAATTTGTGGAAGAAGTATTGACACCCATGCTACAATTAACTTCTACTAGTCGTAAAGAAGTTATGGGGTTATCTCCCCCACCTGCATTTATTCTAAATGATAGTGTGAAGGAAGAAGATTCTTCTTTGGGTAATACTGGGCGTAAAGGATTATTTATGATTGCATCTACCAGCTGGACACCAGATGATGATTACACTATGGTAATAGACGCATTGGTGCGAATTGATAAACGTTTACAAAAACAACTTCAAGAAGAAGGTGGTAAGACTCTATTACATCCTGTGCGGTCTATTTGGCTTCTCGTAACTGGTAAAGGTATCTCACGGGAACGTTTTGAAAAGGCCGTTATTGCTGCTCATTTATCACCTTTAGTAATGATCACAACGGTATACTTTCAATCGTATCAACACTATGCCATGGCGCTTGGTGCGGCGGATGTGGGTCTCTGCATGCATCGTTCCTCCAGTGGACTTGACTTGCCGATGAAGGCGGTGGACATGTTGGGATCTGGTCTCCCAGTGGTCGCCCTCCGCTACGATGCCCTCAGTGAATTGCTCGATAAACAACACGGTTGGCTCTTTAGCAACGCAGAGGAGTTGGAACACATCATTTGGCATTATCTTCTCTCTTATAATACCGCTTCCAATAAAGAAGAGTCTTTGGAAATAAAAAGACGTCACGTAATGGAAAGCCGACGTGAAACATGGGATGACAAATGGAATTCGGCTGTACTTCCTCTCTTGCAGAGGTTACTCTGAATAGGGCGAAGGAAAGAAATGAAAAAAAAAAAAAAACCACAAAACAAAAGGGGGGAAAGGAACCAAAGAGAGAAGTAAAAAAAAAAAAAAAAGGCAAATTTATAAATGGGCCAGTGAAAAACAAGAAACAAAGTAACAAAAGAAAAACGAGTTTTAGTGCTAAAAACAAAATACAAAAAAAAAAATAACGAGAGAATTTCTGTATAGTAAAAAGCAGGAAATTAATGTACTTGATATTTCTTTTTTTTTGTTTAGTTTGGTTTGGTTTTTGGTACTTTTTGCGTCAGACACTCTTCTCTTTCCCTTTTTTTCTCTCTTAGTTCTTTTTCATTATTTGTACATTAAAAAGAAGAGCAAATATAGTGTAAGAAGAAAAGGAGGCAAAAAAAAAAAAGAAGTTAAGGATAAGAAATATAAAAGATTGGATATGTTTTTTATTCGATCTGGTAAGAGTGGAGGAAGTGTATTCGTGAAATGCATATGGACATCCCGATCGTATCACAGTTCTACCGGTGGTTTATACTACCGTGCTCATCACCCAGGCAATCATAGACAATCAAAAGCGGTAGGACAAGCCGCTGCGGCTGCAATGCAATCATCAGCCATAAAAAGTACGTATTGGGAAGAGAAGAGTGGAAGTTCGGAAAATATACAAGGGAGAAAAAGTGAAAATAATAATAATAATAATAATAATAATAATAATAATAATAATAATAATAACAGAAACAGCTGTGGTGCTACAAATAGTTCTTTTAACAGCATGGACTCTCCACCCATATCAGGACCGACATCTCCGCAGGCGTATTTGTATCGTCTGCATCATGGACGTTTTGATAGTTTGACTTCTCTTCTTAGTATGCCATATGCGGCACCGCCATTGCGAATTCTCACAGATGTGCTTCGTGAAGCAATGCAATTAAGACTACATCTACGGAATAAAAGAATTGAAAATATACAGAGCACCAATGATAAACAAAATAGTGATATGTTAGAAATTTTTAAACGAGTCACAAAGTCTTTATCTGACCCACTTGCTGCTCGATTACTTCTTCGAAAGGCAGTAGAAATGGTACAAGAAGTAAAAGAAGGGGTGACGGAGTTGGGAGATAACCTTAGTGAACGTGAATTTCAGCAACAATTACTTGAAATAGAATCTTTTGTCGAACAACTACGTCAATGGAATACTCCTGTTGCATTATTAACTTCTGATTCTAATACTATTTCCTCTTTAGAAGATGAAGATGTTCGATTGATGTTGGAATGGAACCTACCAGATGTTGTTATGACTGATATGTGGCGTACAGTCTTGGAGTTGTGTAGTCTGACAGGTAATTTTACTCTTGCTGTTGAATCTCTTGATCAGCTTATTAAGCTTAGTGAGTTACTTGAGCGTGTTGCTGAAAAAATGAAAGAGAATGAAAAGCAGGAAGATGAAGATCATCAATTACTAACATTTTCCTTAGATACTGTTGTGGAAACTGTGGAAGAAGAAGCGCGACATACTCTCATACCAGTCTCAGCAATTGATCATATTTATGCCATTCAAAGTTGTGTTCTTACTCGAAAATTTGATATTGCATATTCTCTCTTTCAAAGGTATATGCAACACGCTCAGAATGGTGTATTTCCTCTTGCAGAAAAAGATATTACTAAAGCACTAGTTGCTCTTGCCTCTAGTTGTAATAATACCGCTCATTTTACAGAATTACAAGAGTTATTAGTGGAAAGTGAAGCTGCTGCTGTTGTATCGGTTTCTGTGGAACTATACACTGCCGTAATTGAGGCTGTGAGTCGTGCTATTGAAAACCCAAAACGCATGTCTGTGGCCCTTGCCCTTTACCGTCGATTGCGAGATGTTGGATTACAACCAAACATCAACACATACGCCGCACTTATTGCCTGTTGTGCTACTACAAAGGAACCAACACATGCATTTGCGTTTTACCACGAGGCGCGGCAACAGTGTGGAGTTGATAACTTTACACCGGCGGTGTATACGAATTTACTGCGGGCGTATGCGACTGCCGGTTATGGGGCGGATGCGCGGCAGACGTTGGAAGTACTTGCGGAGGCCGGCGCCCCGCTTACACGCAGTGCCTTCCACGCCGTGCTCTCCTCTGCTCAGACGGTGCGGGATGCGGAGGAGGTGGTGAGCCTTATGCAGACATCCTACAAGATTGCACCCACTCCACAAACGTATGCATATTTGATCAAAACAGCAAGTCTTAATCCTAATGGTGTTTCTACTGTTCTTCGTATGTTTGATTGGCATGAACTTACACTCAAGAATCTATTAGAGAGTGGGAGTATCATTACACAACTCTCTCCTCAGGAAACACTTGATGAACATACAGAAAAACGAACAGCCCTTAGTACGAGTGGTACTGCTGTTACATTAGAAGAAAATATTTTAACACACTACCCAATTTATGGTGAAGCTGTTGAGACAGCACTTTTACGACTTCGTGTAGATCCTACAATGGATCCACGTCTTGATGCCTATATGCGTCCACTCTTACGTGTAGCTCAATTACGTATGAATACTTTTACTGGAATGAGTCCACAGGCACCCACACGTATTCCTAAAGGTTCTGCTATTGCTGTTCTGGCACCTGATGTTTTGGCAAACATTGAAGAGTGGTTTATTCCTTTTGTTTCTTATTACTCTGCGATAGTGATTCCACATTCTTCACTTGTAGCATTACGACGTGGAGGTGGACGACGAATTGACACTACCTTTGAAAAAGGACCACAACAATTACTTAATGATTCAGATTGGCGTGAGTTAGGATCAGAGCAGGAAGTTATAGTGGAAACACGACGGCGTATTTTAATGCAATTTTTACAAAAATATCGTGATGTTATTCATTTAGTTTCTTTAAAAGAGGAACTGGCATTAAGCCGTGATTGTGATCGTTATGGTATTGGTGTAAAGAATATATTTGCCAGATCTGCTGCCTTTGCGCTAAACTTGGCACGTATGGACATTGTGAATGCAAGGAAAGTGTATGCTGAACAAGATTGTAATATCGTTTTGGTCTCAGCTGATTTTGATAAATGCGGCAAGTATGTAGTAGATCTCAGACGGGAATTACTTCCGCATCCGAAAGATACCGACAGCAGAAGCCTTAGTGGTCTTACAGATGGACTGCAGCGGGTGTGGTATCATAACCCTCGCACAAGTCCGCAGTGGCGACCACCACAAGTCTCAGTTGCCTCTCTTGTTGACAGTGCTAATTAGCACAGAAGATTGTGAGGCACAGTGATTAAAACTCAAGACTAATAGAATGGTGATACATTAGCTTATTTAATGAATTACAGTACAAGTAATATAAAACAAAATAAAAGTAAAACGAGAAGAGGTATTATGGGGTGTTGGAGAAGAGAAGAAGTAAGAAAGGGAAATTGTTTTTTTTTCTTTTTTTCTTACTTTGATTTTCATATATATATATATATATATATATATTCCTATCCCCTTGTTACCTTTGTTACTACAAAAAAAAATGTGGTTGCTTTGGTGGTTTATGTTTCTTTCTTTATTTTTTTTTTTTTATTCTTGTTGCTGTTTTCACCGTTTCTATTAGCTAATTATCGGTTGGTGGTAGGTGGGAAACGAAAAAAGAAGGGTTGCGTCAGTAGGAGTAATAACAGAAAAAAAAAAGAAGAAGAAAAGAAAAAAAAAAAAAGGTTGAGGTTTGGGAGAGTACATTGGATATTTCACGAGTGAAAACATATTAGTATATATTATGACTACAGAGAAGTTGAAAGATACAATTTGTGGGGCAGCTGTTATTGGCCTTTCGTTCAATAATGATTTCTCCGAGTGCACTTTTTCCCCGAATAATCACTTGGTACATGTTGCGAAATGCAAAAATAAAATGGACTGTAGTACTTGGGAAATTTACGATACTTTAGAGCAGCATGATCAGTCTGTATCTGCTACTGCCTGGCATGGAGCAACAGACCGTATTTTATCATGTTCCCAAGATCGTACAGCCTTTGTATGGTGCCGGAATGCTAAGGGGAAATGGAAACCGCAAATGGTATTACTTGATGCAGGTGTAAAGAGGGGACTTACATGCTGTGCGTGGAGTTACTCTGGAGGAAAGATTTATGTTGGTTCTGCTGCAGCTAACATTGCCGTAGGACGTTTTGATCCTAATGATGAATGGTGGATTTGTCGTTTACTGGAAGGTCATACTAGCACAGTAACAGCACTCGCCCCACACCCATCAGACGACACAATATTAGCTTCTGGTGGGACTGATGGGAAATTATTGCTGGTTTCTACCTTTGTGAAGAAATTAGACACGCAGAAATCATCCTCCTTTGGTCATGTCTATATGGAAAAACAGTTTGGGGCATGGGTTCATGCTATGGCTTGGACACCATCTGGTCAGAGAATTGCAGTTGCCACACATGATAGTAGAGTGCATATTATTGATCTTTCTTCTTTTTCTGGCAGTGTTGAAGAGAATACATGTTCTTCAACCTTGTATACAGTCAATTTGTCTATACTCCCACTAAAGGCTCTCACGTTTGTAGTGGATGATCACCTTGTTGGTGGGGGTTTCGACTACTATCCAGTTCTTTTCACTCCAGTAGATAATGGTGTGGGGTGGCGTATGACTGGTAAGTGGACCATGGATCGTAAAAAAGGAGTAAAAACGGCACAGCAACTTGCACGTGAACGTTTTCAGAATGAAGCACGTATTGGTCAGATTGAACTACTAGATGAGGAACAAACACGACATAAGAATACTATCAATAGCGTTATTAGTCTTCTTACGGGTAATTCTGCGATTGCTGCTGCACCAGGGATTGATGATCCTGTTTTTGCCACTGGTAGTTTGGATGGTCGCGTAGAAGTATGGACAATGAGAGACGTCACATTTATCTAGGCCATCCGAAAAAAAAAAAAAAAGGAAAGAGGGAAACAAGAAATATAATAGTGAATTCTTTTTTTTTTCTTTTGTTCGTCATTCTTGGTGATATTACTTTTATTATTATTTTTTTTTTTCTTCCTTCCTTGGTACTATTCTCTGAAACGGAACATCCTGTATGGCACATGTAGAGATTTTCAAGAAGGAAAAAAAAAGAGGGTGAATGGATGGGAGAAAGAGAAAAAAAGGAATGGACTGGCACGTATAATTCGTAGAAGGTAACAGTAATATTTGAAGTATTTACCTCTACTAATGGGAATATCCATTTTTTTTTTTTTTTTGTGTGTGTGTGTGTCTGCGTTTTTGGAAACTGTTATCTTCTTTCCTTATTCTTTACTGCGTTCTCAATCTCATCTGTCATGGTGACCTCCTAATGATGTGAATTATAAAAAGAAGGGGGAAGGAGGTGCCTACCAAATATATATATATTGATAGATAGATAGATTTCAATTTAGAATTGGGGATGCGATGATTATGACAACAACACCACATGACTCTGTTCTCTATCACGGCAAGGTGGAAAAGATTGGTGCTGATGGTTCCAGCCTGCCGCGCAGTGTGTTTGTCACACCATCTGCACTACTTGTCGCTCTTCCCGCTGGTGGTGTTACGCGGACGATAACGCTTGCGAACATGATAGAACTTAGGTTTGTAGAGCGTGAAATTGGTAGTGGTTTTCGCTGCACAGTGCGGGCACGTAATGAACCGGTGCTCATCCTTGACTTTGCCAATCATGATAACATGATTCGATTCACAGATGCTGTGCGAGGAGCGGCAAGTCATGTACGTATGGTTCATAGTAGTAGTAGTAGTGGTGGTGTTGGTGATAACCTCCGCGAGAGGCATATTACGTTGGATGTACCCCGTCCTGGGACGAAAGGAGTCCGATTTGTGGAACCCCCGGAGTTTTCAAGGCCGAGTTCATCTCCAGCTGTTTCATCCTTTGCCCCTGGCGTAGGTAGCAGCAGCAACAGCTATAATAGCAACAGCAATAGCAATAACACCACTACGCATCACCGTCTCTCATCTCCCTCTACCTCTGTGATTCCAATAGAGCCGCTGGAGGGAGTTGGAACTTCCTCAAGAGAGACGCGACGTGTGGGTCTCTTTGATCTATCACCTGATACCCACATCTCACCATTCCGCCGAGAGTCATTTCTACACGCTTTGGGGAGTCCTAGTGAAAATAATGCATCCATGCAGACCAATAGAAGTATCAATGGAAGTGGTGGTGGTGGTGGTGGTGATAGTAGTTATCACAGGAAAGTAACACCACCATACATCAATAATACATCTGTGTTGTATGAGAATGATATCACTCGCCCATTATCACAGCAGCAATCACCTGCATCTTGGACTCAGTCCTTGCAATCACCAGAGCGAACAAGGTTACAGGAAGATTCACTTAAGGAACTTCGTGCTCAACGGGATACTACTACAAGTATACAACAACGCCTTACAACAGAGCTGGAAATGCGAGAGCAAACTATAAGTAAATTAAAGGATGAATTACAAGAAAAAAATGCCTTTATTGATGATCTAAAATCGGCTCTTCGATCGCAGGAAAGTGTCTTTCAGGAAATGCTTAAAACCACTGAACAGCTACGTTTAGCTGAAGGATCTAGAAATCAGATGGAAAAGCAGGTAGAGTTACTTCGAGTAGAAGTAAAACATCTTGAGAATCTTCTTAAACAAAAGGAAGAGAGTTATACGAAAGAAATGGCAACAAAACTATCCGAATTACATGAGTCACATTCGAAAGAAGTAGAATCATTAAAGGAAGCCTTTGCGCAGTATGATGCACAGATAACCAATTATGTAGAAAATCTTGAGAAGGAAAAGGATCGTGAGGCACAAAACTGGAATGAAAAGGAAAGATTGTTGCAGAAACAGATAAAGTCTCAACAAGATGAGATTACTGAACTCATGACTGTGTTGGCATCACAACCTGAAAAGAACTCTTCTGCTACTCTACACCTACCAACAGAAGGGAAAGAAGGTATTGGAAGGAAATCAATACATGGGTTATTATCATCTCAGGAAAAGCGACAAACACCGCGTCGGTCTCGTCAGACAACACCAGCTGCTTTCACGACACCAGCACTAGAATTTCGACTGGCGTCATTAGAAGAAGAGCTTGCGCGCAACCGATTACGCGAAAAAGTAGGTCGCTATGCTAAAACTAGAAGGCGAACACTTCAAAGTAGCTCTTTTGTCAAGCGTAAGAATAATAATGATAATGATGATGATTCTTATAACGATAATCATAACAGTGATACCAATGAAGATGATGGTGATATGAAAAGTGAACATGTTGATCATAGAGGTACTCATACAAATTCAGGAGTATCCCCAGGGTCATCATCGCGGCGATTTCATACACCTCATGTAGGAGCAATAACAAGAGGTGAAGAGAATTCATCATTGCCGCTATCTCCAAAACCTTCACGTGGTACTCGAAATCGTGCTATTCTCTAATATTAGAAAGAGAGGATGTGTTCCGCAGATTATTGTGGTGTTTTTTTTTTCCTCATTTATTTTTTTTTAACGTAGTTTGTGTAAACACATATTGTACGTTTCTGTATTTTTTCGTTCTTGTTTTTTTTTTTTTTTTTTGTTCTTTGACCTTTGTTTTAAGTTACTTTTTTATGCCCTTTTGTATCTGTATCTGCTTGTGCATACACATTATGTTTATGCATTTGTTAGGTATCTGTAGAATGAAGGTTTGCGTTTATGATGTAATAATCTGCTTTTTTTTTTTAATGAGTTTTTATTTTGTTGTTCTTTTTTTTTTATTCTTTAATTATTTGTTTCTCTTTTTTTTCTTATTATTATTTTACTATACTCCAAGAAAGGAAATGTCTCTTACACCGTACCACCTACACTGGTCGGATGGACTCATAAAGCGTGTGGAGCTACGGCTGCGTCAACTGCATGCATGTATGGAGGAATTTTATCAGATGAATAATTATTCCTTCACTGTTCGCAGTACGACAGCCTCAGGGGCGGTATCAGATAATGATAACCATAAGCAACGTGGTAATGAGAATGCTAATCAACCGGAGGGACCCATCAACACTGTTGGAAGTTTTCTTCTTCGTACCTGTGTACACTCAACGTCGTTCTATGAAACACAAGCGGAGCGTGGTGTAGGTGCAGATCTTGCACTTATAGTGCCAGAGGAAGTTTGTTCGCTTAAAGACATTCAAGATGGTTTGTACTTGGAAAAACGACAAGAGTTCCTCCTAAAGGTAGAGAAGTATTTGAAGAAATATAATGAGGAGATGCTTAAGAAGACAGTAGCAGGAGCAGAAGGAAAACAACATGGTAAAGATAAAGAAAATGACAGTGATGATGATGAAGATGAGGAGGAGGAGGATAATGAAAATAAGGTTTTACATTCACCAGTTATATGGGATATTCAAAAAATTCCATTTGGTGGTTGCTGGGCTAATAGAGAGAAACAAATCCTTCGAATCACTTTTATTAAGGTAAAGGGAGATAAAAAGATGAAACGAGAAGTTTTTCATGTGGATGTACACTTCCAACCCATTGCATTAACAGGACGTATTGCAAGTGCTGCTGCTGTTCGTAAAAACTCACATTACAGTTACCTTGTACAGGAAGATGCTCTCATGACAGTTCATTTGCGTAAGTTACATGAACTTTACTCTCAAAGTCAATCACTTCTTCGCGCCACTGTATTTCTCAAGTGTTGGGCGCACCATGTTGGTCTGATGTCAAGTACATCAGGTCATCCTGAGGGTTTAAGCGGATTCCACATATCAGCATTTGTTCTACGCCTTGTTGAAGAAGGTGTTATCTCTCCCTCCATGTCTGAAGAGAATGTGGTTCGTGCCGTGTGGGTAAACATATCTCGTGGATTTACATCCAAGACGAGTGATAACCGCAGTGGTGTGGGCAGCAGTAGGGAGATGTGTATTCCTGCATCCGAGGAGCGTGGGGAGGTGGCAGTGCTGCGTCTCTCAGGTGAGACGATGAATCTTCTCTTCCGCACCTCCGCTGACTTTTTTGAACACGTCGTGCAGTCCGCTGCGGTGGAGGCGCTCGCGATGTCGGCGGCCGTTGAGGCGGTCACACGCCTGCCGTTCCGTCCGCTGCCGCTGCGGTTTGACTTTTGCCTCGTCGTGGCGCTTGCCGGGGGCGACAGCGGCGCTGAGCGGCCGGAACTGCGGGGAGTTGTGCTCGAGGCGCTCGCCCCCCGCGCCCGCTACGCGACGGTGTGGCGCTGCGGCCCCGACACGTTGAGGGTCGCCGTGCGGGCGGCGGACGGGGAGGCGGCGGCGCGCAGTCGACTCACGCGGGGCCCGCCGCTCGAAGACACCGCCGCCGTCGCCCGTTTTGATGAGTTTTGGGGCACCAGCGTCACTTCAACAAGGCAGTTCCCAGACGGTGGCGTCTATCGCTGCGTTCTCTGGAACTTTGAAGACACCCTCAACGACAAGGACGGTCAATTGCCAATGCTACCTGCTGCCGTTGTGATGGCACGCGTACTGGAATTTGCACTACGTCGTCATATCGCTCCAGAGGCACGAGTGCAACAGTTAATGAACGGTCTGCACGGAATACTTTACGAACGTGTGGGAAGCGAGTGGCGTGATGCTGCACCTCTTGTACAAAAAACTATTATGGAGGCGTGTAGAGATGTGGAAACCATGGTCGCCGCCATTCCACGAACATCACTTCCGTGTAAACTTACATCACTTGATATCATCGCACCTACCGAACGATATACCGCAACTTTTCCAGTTCGTCCTCATCTTGCTCTAACATACACAACAGATGATCTGACGCAACCATGTTTTGCTGGAATTAGTACCGCCTCAGTTATTGAACCTATTCATGCTGTTTTGACTATTGATGATAAAAATAAAATTCCTGATACACCTGAAGCCATTGCAAAAATTAAAGGAGCTATATGTGCCCAACTATCTAAGGTACTACAAGAGCACTATGGTAAAGATAATAGACAAAGTAAAAAGAAGAATAACTCTATTAAGGCGAAGAAAGAGGAAAACAGTCTTCAAGGTCAAGAAGGAGAAACAGAAAAGAAAAAGTTTCGTGTACGTACATCATGTACAAGCCATTCGGTAGATATCATCTATAAAGGTTTTCTTTTTCGTTTGTATATTGCTCATTACCGTGAAGTTTCATTGTTAAAAGCGTTACAACGAGAATCGGAAGCAGCTATGATTGAGCGAAAATTATTCTGGAGTGTTCAACATGCTAAGTTTTTACGTACCATTGCCTTTGGTCACCAAAGTTACGCCACAGCGACACGGTTAGCTAATCGTTGGTTAAGTTCTATGGTTTTACTTGAATTTATACTTCCTGAAGCAGTGGAACTACTCGTAGCAAACGCCTACCTTGGTTCAAATCCTCCAAAGACATCAGAGGCTGGATTTATGCGTTTTCTTCAATTACTCGCTACACATGACTGGTCAACTCCACTGGTTCTTCCATATGCCGTGGATGATAAAGTACAGGCGGATGCCGCAGCATTGATGCGTACTATGGGTGAACAGCAAGGTATGTTTATTGCGACACCCTATGCCCCACTTGAAAGTCCATTTACAGCGCATACTCCGAGACCAATGATTATGCATCGTGTGGTACAGTTGGCTAAAAATGCCATGGTATTGTTACTTAACCTTATTGATGGTCGTGGTAATTCCACAGAAATTGAAGCCACCCTCTTTACCCCAGACCCACGTGTGTTTGATTTTCATATGGCATTTCATCCAGATCTTTTATTACAACCTGATCGAGCTCTCACTCCTCCTTTTGCAGAACTGCATATGAATATGATAGAAGGATCAGAAACAGAAGCTGAAGGAGCATTTAACAATTCCTCTAATGTCGGTGGTGGTGTTTCACCTACTTTGGGATCAACTTCAGCAATAACTACAAAAGTATCATCACTAGCTACAGGAGCCTCACCTTTTCATTCCTCTCGTGTATGGCAGTTGGATGAACTAGAAGAAGAGAAGAGTTCTTTATACTTGACAGAGCTTGTGGAGAGAGAACCGGCAGCGCATGTTGTGCGAACTGTTCGTGCTGTCACCCGAGACCGATGCATGGTATTTTTTGACTGCATCGCACCGCGTGATATCTATGTTATTACTATAACACCTTCACCGATGCGGGATCATTGTAAAAAGCTGCATGATGATATTCTTCGCGTCAGTCGTGGTGCCCTGTTACCTGCTGATTGGACACTGGGAGGAACAGCAGCAGCTGCTGCAGAGGCAAAATCCAAACGAAAAAATGCGGTAACTTCCACAAAAAGAACGGTTGATAACAAAAAGAAGCCTGTTGTAGCTGAGAAAAAATCAAGTCAACAAAAACGCCTTCGCAAGGAGGAGGAAGCGGAAGAAGAAGAAGAGGGTGTTTCAGAAGGAGTGCAGCAACTGGTTAATCAACGTGGGAAAAAATCCCGGTATACTGCAGCAAATGAAGAAGGTGATAAAAAAAAGAAGGCGTCTCAGTCAGTAAACAATTCCAAAATGAAGAAGAGGAAAGTAAATTAAATCTAATTGGACGTGAAAAAACACGACCAACTCTACAATCGATTAAACATTTTGTGGAGTGATCCTATAAAATGATGAGTGAAATCAATGAAAAAAAAAAGAAAAATATTTTTACATATGAGTAACAAAAAAAAAAAAAAACTTCAAGTAAAGGATCAAAACAATCTGAGATATTGGATTATCCTATATCTATACTTTTCTTTTGCATTTATAATAACTTCTTTTATTTTCTTCAATGTGATGATGATTATTATTATTATTATTGTTAGAGTTTTTTTTTTTTCTTTCTTTTCTTTTTATTACTTCTCTATTGGGGCTCGGCAATGGTCATAGTACTTGAAAGTACAGAATGTTGCGGCAGGTGACAATACTGCTGCTACCTCGTAAAGTATCTCTTTTGTATACACGTAGACTAGTTCCACAACGACAAGTAATACCCACTAGACACCCACTACGTAGAGGGGCACTCTTACTTGAGCTTGATAAGCCATCACAGGATGATGTAAAGGCAATGATGAAAAAAGAAGATAATGGTAACATGACAAATGGGGAAGAGGAATATGATAAAAAAAATAAGAAGAGATTAATTTCTACATATCATGTATCATCATCTGATGTAGCATTGCCTTCCAGCAGTAACAGTAGTACTAGTTCCCATTCTGGTGTTAGTAACACCTACCTTGTTCCTTCTCATTACGCAAATAAAGTGGAGAAGGCTGCCCTACATGTGGATAAGTTAGCACAAGGTTCTTTTTCTCATACAAATACCGTATCTTCAAACTCCAGAGTGCGTCAGCGTACATCTATGGAAACACTACAGACACAGGATTCTATCCTTCGCGAGATGTTTAATGACGCTAATAAACGCTGTATTCAACTTCGAAAAGACACTGTCTCCCTGCAGGAGGAACGTCGTGCTTTCCGTCTCTCGCACGGCCGCACACCAACAAAGACGGAAGTTTCTCCCACTGTTCACATTCCGTTAGCGCCTGTTGCGGCACTGAAGCTCACGAAGTACTTCAGTCCGCATGCATCTGCCCGGGAGGCGGTACAACACGCCCTTCGCCTTCAGCAGCACGTAGCGACAAATGCACTGCGGCGCAGCGGTGAGAAAACACTCTTTCGCTGTCTGCGCTGCTTTCACGTGTACACTGCGCGGCCAAGTACACTGTTGCGTGATGGCACAGAACCGCCTTCGGTGCAACGTTGGCGAAAGTGTAGTGTGGGGAAGCGGCGAGATGCACTTGTGCGAAATCCGAATTGCTGTCCATCGTGTGGAAGCAAAAAGGCACAGTGGATGATGGAGTACGTGCATTACCGAACCCACGGTTAAACAAATTGTTGTATAATTTCTTTATTTCTTTCTCTGGAGTTTTTTTTTTTTTTTCTCTCCCATTTTGTGTGTTTTACTGTCTATATTATAAACTACTGTGATCTTTGGAAAAAAAAAAAAGGAAACATACTTATTTTTCTTCCTATTTTGCTTCTTTTGTTGTTTTGTTTTCTTGTGTGTTTTATTAATGATTTCCCCCTTTTTCCGTTGTAGACTAATGGAGTGCTCGGAACGGGGACACGTATATGTCTCTCGTCGGTCACGTGTAAAGACAACAGTGCGTAGAGCCGCTCTTCTTTTGATATTAATAGTCCTCTTGTTCTGGATTCAATTAAGGGACACTTCTCAGACTTCTGAGGATGAAAATGTTGTACAAGGACATAATATAGATGTTAGTGTTTCTCATTCAACACCTGTGCATCTGACAGTCTCACCGCCGACCTTATCTGGTTCTGGTGTTTCAGGGACACAACCTGTTGCTACTCCCCCAATTACTAGTACTTCTCCTAGTGATGCTCCTGTTGAAGTCATTGTACATAATAATCCTGGTACCATTCATGGAGCTACCTTTGCAAACAGTGGTCATGATGGTGGTCCCTTTATTACATCACTTAATCGTCTTGGATATTGTCATTATGAAGTTCATAATTTTTGTGTTGAACGAGGTACTTTAGTGTTTTTCCATGATGCTAAACAATCATCCCATCGGTTTAAAGGAGGTATGCGTGCATGCAATGAATTCTCTCGACATAGTCCATCTATTTATATAAAGTACTGGTCAAATCCACTTCCAAATGACACTACAACGGTACTTCCAGGACCTCTTAACACCATCACCAAAGGATGGATTCTTCAGTTTTGGTGTCAGGATCTCTTTCATATGACACTTTCACTTCTTCCAGCTTTTCAAACCAAAGATGCGGTTGGGCAATCTGATGCTGATGTGTACATTAGGATAGCAAAAGGAAGAAGACATAAAGGTGGTTACTGTAACGTAAAGCTTGGTAATCCACTAAATTTTGAAGATACACACAATACAAAATATGGACAAGATCGACAGTTTCCTTTTGCAGGAAACCCATATTGGCCATTTTACCGTATTTTAACTAATCATCCAGAGAAAATTCATCCCTTAGTCTCTGGACAAAGTGTGCAAACAGCATGTTATAGACATGGAATAATAGATAAACGGTATATTAAAGATATGATGGGAGCAGAGGCACGTAACTATAGTGCTAGTATTCTTGATTTATTAGGTGTTCCTCCTGGAAATCCACTACCTTGTGGGAAAAAGTATCGTGTAACAATTATTGATAGACGAGGTCGTACACGTCGACTGACGAATATACCTGCTATTGTTGAACTAGCGCATAAAATGGGATTTGAAGCCCATTCCGTAGCTTTTGAAACACTTCCTATTCGAGAACAATTACGTGTTATCACGTTAACGGATGTGTTGTTAGGTGTTCATGGAAATGGACTTATGTGGCTTCAATTTCTTCCACCGGGTTCTGTTGTGATCGAGTTGGTTGGAGTGTGGTATACACCGTATGCACTTCTGTGGGGTCACACCTATTTACATTCCATGATGCGAAACAATCCAGAGTACAAACGATTGTGTGAATATCATCCATTTGCACATAACTTAACGGAAATTCAAGAGCTGCTCGAGCAGGCAAAAACGGCGTTGGATCAAAGTAGATGCGGTAAAACACCATTTGAATCGCCTAATAAAAGGCTTGGAGATTTATATGGCAGCTGTGCCCCACACTGTTAGTGTTTTTATTTATTGTTGTTATTGTTGTTGTTATTTCGATTTAAACATACATGAAGAGAGAGGGGTGGATGTTACAAGAAGGAGAAAAAGAAAGAAAAAAGTGATCTATCTTCAAGGGAGGTTGTCAGAAAACAGAAAAATGGAGGGGGTGGGGGTAGCGAATACAAATGTCATGTATTTTACCTCAACTTTAAGAATATTGTTTATTTGAAAGAAAAAAAAAAGAAAGGAGAAATAGTTGTTGTTTTTTTTTTTCCCAGTTTCTTTGGCATTTCATCTATATTTGCTCATAATTGGAATATGTTTGCTTATTATTTTTATTTTTTTTTTCTTGGTGTATATTTATCTCCTCTTTAAATTTATCTATGCTTTAATAAAGAGTGACTTATGTTTTTATTTATTTTTTCTCTTTTTCTCTCTCTTTGATGATATGGTCTAGAGAAAAAGAAAGAAAGGGATGACTGAATCCCCATCAAAACAAGCTCGAAGTGATGTTTTCCTTCAACTTGCTCGTTGCTCAGAGATTAAATTATTTTTTCTCGTATTAATATTTCGTTTGCTTGTACTTATGGGTATGATATTTACTCATGCCGTTCTACCAAAGATTATTGGTGTTGAACTCCTTTTTGATACGAGTATGTTGCTTCATAATGATACAAGCAATCAATGGGTATTTCTTGATTTCCCACGAAACTGGGATGTAGTACACTTTTCCCATATCTCAAAATATGGATATTCACATGAAAATGTTTGTGCATTTTTCCCGTTTCTTCCGACAATTCTTCGTATTATCTCATGGGTGAGTAAGACTTTATTACCATCATCTCTTACAGTTATTCCTGTTTCTTTCTTAGCTGCATTATTAAATATCTTTTTAAATGCTGCTGGGGCTGTTATTCTTCGTCGTATTACTCTCTTGACACTTGTTGGTCTTCCAACAAGAGATGAGAATATATCACTTCATACAGGAACATGGTTAGATGAGGTTCCACCACCCCCACCATCACGTTCATCTAAAAATACAGAAGAAGATGGAAAAGCCATAATGTTAAGACGTTGGCGAGAAGTTGGAGCATCTATTTTGATGTGGATATTATCACCAGCTGGTGTTTTTACGGTAGTTCCTTATACGGAGAGTCTCTTTTCACTCTTAACGTTTTTAGGTATCTATTTTCTTATTATTCCTTCCCCAGTTGGAAGAAAAGAAGCTTTGACGCAAGCTGCTCTTACAGAGGTTGGAGCTGTAATATGTTTTACTGTTGCGGGATTTGTTCGTTCTAACGCGTTTATTTGCATGGGATTCCTTATTTACCCTATATTTCTACAAATATTCTTTTTTGAAAGATACAAAAAACGATTTCATATGCGGTATGGAAACAATGTATTAATTTCTCGTTGGCCAAGTTTCTTAAGATGTATAATCGTTATCGCTGAAATGGGAATCATTCTTACACCGTACCTTGTAATGAATTACTTCTGTTTTAATCGGTTTGTTCCCTTATGGGATAATGCATCAAAATCGATAATTGGTAATAGGTTCTGGGCTTTCTATGGAACAATGCAAAAGCGTTATTGGAATGTAGGGTTTCTTGCATCATATACATTAAAAAATTTACCAAACGTTTTTATTGCTTCCCCTCTGGTTTACTTCACTCTAAGAACTTTTGTGAAATTGTATTTATGCGCATCTCAGAAAAAAATAAAATCACCGACTTCTTTACCGTGTGCAGTAGAAGGAAAAAATGGTAGAATTTCTCACACGCATAATGTAAGAAGTTTTATTTCTGTATTGAAAAGTACTTTCCATGTTCTTATTCAATCATCCAATATTACATGTCTTCTGTTTATGATTCTATTTGGGACCACTATGGTACATGTGAATGTGGTGAATCGGTTTACGGTGTCTTATCCCGCTCTTTATTGGATTTGGGCTCGACAGATTGTGTGGGACCCAATGGGCGGGCACACAGTCGTGATGTTTCGCTTCTTCCTCACATGGATATGTATTGGGACGCTTTTCTTTCCCAACGGAATGCCATGGACATAGAAATTAATAAACTATCTGATGATGGATTATATAAGCATGATTAATAATAATATTTTATTTCTCTCTTGTTTTTTTTTTTTTTGTTATTCTTGTTGATATTTTTGTTGTTGTTGTTGTTGGTGGTGGTGTTATTATTATTGTTGTTGTAGTGGTTGCACTTATTTGTTTTTTTTTTGTGTGAGTGTGTAATTTCTGCTACTTCTTGTTGCTAGGTTTCATTACAGGAGGTGACACACTTATGTAGTCTGTGTGTGTGTTTCTGTGTGAAAGAGAAAGAAAGAAAGTGAATACTTATGAATCCGTATACATCAAAAATTTCTATTGAATGTTTGTTATTTCTATTATTACTATTATTTATTCTATTTGTTATGGTGACTATTCTTTTTTATTTATTTATTTTTTCTCCTGATATGTATCCGTACACATTTTTCTCTTTTTTTTTCTTTCCTCTCTCCCATCCACCCCCTTCAAAAGTAAGAAGCTGATTTATCTAGAGGTACATCCCATTCCATTATGGAATCTAAACCTAGTAAGCGGAAATCAGTAGCAACAACTAGAAAGGCCTCAGTGACGTACTCCCACAGTAGTAATGGCTCAACAGCACGTACTTTTACGACTTCGGTCGCTGCTACTTCTATCGCGACCAACAGTATGACGACAAGGTCGCGTCTTATCAGTACAAGAACTACCGACAACATGTGGAAAAGTAGAAGTAATGATAGGAGGAGTACCGGTGAGCGGAGTCGCGTTACCACACTCCGGTGGGAGCATCTTCCATCCTTCTCTACAAGAACAGAAAGACAACGAGGTTCAATGTCAACAACTGCATCTATACGCAGACGTTGGCACGCACGAGTCATTGGTATGTTGCATGTAGCCTTTTATTCTTCATTATTTGTTGCTGCTATGCGTCGTGTGGCTGCTCGCTACCGTAAACGTGTAATTTGGGAAACTGTGGAGAAACCAAAGGCGGCATTTAAAATACAAACCGCATGGCGTGCATACCGGCAGAGAAGAAGATTCAATTGTAAGGCCGCTGCAGAACTTCTTGGTCCTATTCTACGCTCTAAAATTATGTGTTTACTAATAGTAAAGGAAAAGTGTGCGTTATTCCTACAGCGTGTTTTTAGGTCTCAGAGAGAGCGACACTTTATGCATTGGTTATATCAACAAATGAAATACAATAAGGCGCTTAATGTGGTGCGTAAATTTCTAGAACGATATGTGGCTAAGCGGCATTTGTTGTTTCTTACTCTTCAACGTGATGAGCGGGATGTGTGTGAGGAACGTTGTGCCATGATGGCACAGTCTCTCATTCGTGAAGAACGTGCAGAGTTAATGCGAATACTACATTGGATGAATACAAGTACACAATCGAATTTAACACCATTAGTGACAAAAGCAATGTTGGAATATGAAACTAAACGATGTACTGATGGCTCTTCTCGTCCTACGTCTTCACTAGTGACAAGGATGAGAGATGTTACCAAAAATTTCTCTCTTTCTCTAACTTCAAGTGGTCGAGAGATACAATCAGAATTTAATCCATTAGCTTCATCCACCTCTGGATTGGAAACCATTTATAACTCTGGTAATGGTACTTTGGAAAGTACGAATCCATGTGTATGGAACTCTATCTTACACAATGAGGAAAGTGCTCGTGTTTTCATAGATGGCCTATTTCGACGAAAGATACCTTCTTATCCATTATATAAAGAGGATTCTGTACAACCTCCTTTTAAAAAAGTGTCTAATATCGCTTATAAGAGTACTATGAATTCACAAATAGAACTAAAGAGGTCTCAAGATCATGAATTGAATTATGGGTTAAGCCTTTTCCCTTCTCGACCTGTTTCAGCGAAATTAGGAAGTGATCTGGATATTAATAAACAACATATCACACAAGATTTTTCATTTTATGATGGATCACCATCATTAAATGGTTTAGTAGACGCTTTTCTTGAACTTTTACTACGTACAGAATCTATTGAACGTAAATCATTGGTGTTAGAATATCAAGATAGCCATAATGAACTTATACAACAGTTGAAATGGGTTGCTACAACACTACATGCAACTACTGCCACTCCCCCATTGTATGCTTCTCTCCTTGGAAATATGCAAGAGACATGGTTAGTAGAACGAGCAAAATTGCTTTTTCGTCAGGAGCATGAGAGTCGCCTTAAACTAGTAAGAGAGTATGAAGCGATACCACTCCGTTTTCTTAATCGTCCACTTCTTAATAATGCAGCGGAAGAGCGAAGAACACGTCTAGTGGAGGGTGTGCGAAAAATAAAAGAAACAGAGGAAGCCAATGGAAGTACGAAACGGGGTAACACCCCATCAGAGGTTGGATCGTATCAAGATCGGAAGGAAAATACTAATCCCCTAACACCATTCATGGATTCCATGCACCCGTCACTGCGGCCTTTAAGTAGGGAGAAATTATCAACGGCAAAGTCTCAGACGATATTACGACCAATATCCGCTTCATCACGACCACCACTACCTCCATCACCTCCACCACGGAAAAGAGAAGATATGTCTGGTGTTGTGAAATCAGCAATACATCAGGGTGGACAAAGATATCAACAACAACAACAAGAACAGCAGCAGCAGCAGCAGCAGCAGTATCATCATTATTATATGCACAATCGTCCAACGGAGGATGATGTTCTTCCTAGATTTTTCACCGCAACATGTACGTTATCACCAGATTCACCAATGGTAAGTGCAAACGTGAATAGTACACCCTCAGTGCAGAATGCTGAAGGTGATTTTGGGAATGATACTGATCGAGGACCAATCGCACATGGAAAGTCATCAGTTCAATTTAAAAGCAATGCATTACTTCCAAGTTTTTTGTCCTTTTTTACAGCACCTGGTGCCAATAGCAATACCAAAACTAATAACATTGTAGAGTTTCCATATACTGATGTCAATCGACATGTAGGTTCTATCTCATCTGTTGATAGTGGTGAAACCCCGGTGCTTCCACATCTAAAAGGAACTTCATCTGGTGGTCGTCTTAATACCAGTAGTTGTAATAGTGGCTTAGTCTACGCAACGGAAGGAAAGCACAGCAATGAAAAAGCTGGTAGGATTTTAACATATTCTTTTATGACAGGCTCTAATTTACAGAGTGTTGGAGATTCTTTACTTATTACGAAGAGTACACTTGGAGGGAATCAAACCAACGTAGCCAGTACAACACGTGGAGTGCCAATTCCCCTATTACGTGCCTCACCAACTCCAGATCGAAGTACTCTACCACCGATCCAAACTATTGAGATTGTACGTGATAGAGAGCCTCTCGAGCAGAAAGAAAGTGGTGCTGACTACGTCTGCGATCGCCGCGGACGTCGTTTTCCTTCTCCATTACCTACAAAAGAAGCACTAGCAGCAGCGGCAACACTACGAGAGGAGCGTTGTGCTTCTCCATCATCATTGTTATTCTCACCAATGATGACCAGGTCTTTATCACCAGTGAGGATACGTATAGGGCGTACCACAGACCCAAGGAAAAAAAAAGATATAAACATTGATCATGTCAACAGAGAACCTGAGATGAGTAATGCTCCTTAGTTTTGTCTGTAGGGTTTCTTTTTTTTCTGCTCTGTGTGTGTGTGAGAGAGAGAGAGAGAGAGAAATCTTCTCGTTTTCAAGTGTTCATGTAAATTACGCAATCTTCTTGATGGAAATTGTTCCTTCTTTTTTTTTTTTTTTGATCTCTCTGTATATATATATATATATATATTTTCACACCATTTTGGCTGACGTTTCTTTTTTTTTTTTTTTTATGGCGTGGGAAAAGACGGTTAAGCTTTCTATTTAATCACTTGTACATATTGAGCACACCACTTTTTTTTTAAATTCTTATTCTTTTGTTTCTCCTTTTGTGAATCATGTTTGACTTGCAATAAAGTAACAATAAAGAAAAAAGGAAATATGGGGAACCGTCGTATTGGGGGGAATTCGCGTGTCCTTCGCAAGAAGAAATTGAAGGTATCTAAGAGAAGTACCACCCTAGGTGGTGCCTCCACCGCCTCTCGAGTAGCAACAGCATCCACAGCAGTCACTGCAGGGGGATTCACCGTAAAGAAAACAGGACTGCGGCTCAAAAAGTCCGGTAGTCGAGCAGCCGCGGAGAAGAAACGTTTAGCCGCACTGAGAGCCCTACAGAAGGAGCGCAGTCAACTACTAAAGCGACAGGCAGCTGAGCGAATGGTGTTGAAAGAACACACACGAGATTTGGAGGCACGACGACAGCGAATTCGAAAGGGTGAGAACGCAAAGACGGAGCGGCGAGAACTTGGAAAGTACATCCGACAATTAAGAGAGGAACAGACATCAAAGCATGAGTCTGAACTGCGTGCTATTGAAGAAGCTATTAAAATACAGGACAGTACGAAGCGGTGTAATACGAAGCGAGTGGAAGAAGATTGGGAAGATATAGAAGATGATGACGTGGATGAAATTGATGAAAACGAGCTGCAGGACATGTTTGCTCATCTAACTACATAATTGCAAGACGTCATAGTGAAAAAGAACAATGGCAGAGTGAGATGCAAAAGTGTTGATGGAGTTACGTATGTGGTAAAAGCAGGAAAAAAAAAAAAAAAGAAGGACGACCCCTTGAGAGAGTAAAGCTGTCATTTTTGATGTGCAAACGTACAGTGCTTATTTTTAATCCTGTTCCTCATCTAAGAACGGTGAAGGATAAAAAAAATGCAGGAGAACATGACGATTAAATAAAACACGCTAACGAAAAGAAGAAAACCAACAAAAAAAAAAATAGAGAGAGTGTGTCTCCGTGTGTAGAGAATGGAGATGAGTGTGTTTTAATGGAATGACAAAAAGAGAGAGAAAAAAAAGAAAAAGAGGGAAATGTATGAATTGTTTAGGCAATAAGACATTTTTCTTCTGTATTATCCATCAGTTTTTTTTTTTATTATTATTCATTATCTCTCTCTCTCTCTCTCTCTCTCTCTCTCTTCTCACTAACCAACACGGTTCTATTTCATATTTTAAACACTATTTTTTGTTTTTTTTTTTTTAGAATTAAAGCAAAAAAAAAAACAGCGTAAAGAAAAAGAATAACTATCATCTCTATTCAGATATGTCAAATGTATCCTCTGCAGTTTCTCCAACTCTTTCGGAGGCAGCTGCAGCTTGTCGAGCAAAGATGCAAGCAGCTGGAGTGAATGAAGCATGTATACGCACCTTTCTCTCTCAACACGCCGTTATAAGCAGTGGACAAACAGGTGAAATACCAGAAAGTGCTATTTCTCCTGTTAACTCTCTTGATACACTTGAGAGTATTAATGTTCCCTGTAGTAATGATTTGTTGCAGCAAACTGTAGTTCTAAAACTAAACGGTGGTCTTGGCACAGGTATGGGTCTACACACCGCCAAAAGTCTTCTCCCTGTAAAAGATGGTAAAACATTTCTTGATTTCACGGCATTGCAAATTGAACATCTTCGCAAAACATCTAGTGATCGACTACGATTTATGTTAATGGACTCCTTCTCAACTTCCGCAGATACAAAATCCTTTTTAAAGAAATATCCCCGAATTTATGAAGTCTTTGATAAAGAAGTTGAATTAATGCAAAATCGTGTTCCTAAAATATTACAAGATAATCTCTTCCCAGCCACTTATGAACCAGAACCCTCATGTGAGTGGACTCCCCCGGGACATGGGGATCTTTACACTGCACTCTATGGAAGTGGTAAATTGGATGACCTCTTACGCGATGGATACCGATATATGTTTGTTTCAAACGGTGATAATCTCGGTGCTACACTTGACGGACGTCTTCTTGCGTATATGCAGGCAAACAAGTTGGATTTCCTTATGGAGGTTTGTGAGCGTACCGAGTCTGACAAAAAAGGAGGTCATCTTGCATATCAGATGGTTAATGTGGATGGTACCACAGGACAGGAACGTCGTTTAATCCTTCGTGAATCAGCACAATGTCCAAAAGAAGATGAGTCAAGCTTTCAAGATATTACTAAACATCGTTTCTTTAACACAAACAATCTTTGGATAGAGCTTCAATCCCTCAAAAAGGCAATGGATAACCATAATGGTATACTACCACTTCCTGTTATTCGAAACGCAAAGACTGTGAATCCAACTGATAGCAGTTCACTAAAAGTCTATCAACTTGAAACAGCGATGGGTGCAGCTATTGCATTCTTTAAAAATTCAGCAGCAGTGGTGGTTCCACGTGAACGATTCGCTCCCGTTAAGACGTGTGCAGATTTGCTTGCGCTACGCTCTGATGCTTATAAAGTTACAGAAGACCAGCGTCTTGTATTATGTGAGGACCGAAAGGGTATACCACCAGCGATTGATCTTGACAGTAATTATTACAAGATGATTAATGGTTTGGAAAAACTTGTAAAAGGTGGTGTCCCATCTCTTCGATTATGCAATAAACTTTCTGTGAAAGGCCCAGTGGAATTTGCTGGTAATGATGTTGTGATAAAGGGTAATGTAACAATTCGTAATAGCAAGAAGGATCCGTTGGTCATTGAACATAATCGTGTGCTTTCAGATGAAGTGGTGGAAGCATAATAGGGTTTTTTTTTTTTTTGGAGTGTTTTTTTTTGTTGTTGTTATTGTTGTTGTTGCTGTTACTATTCTTAAGTGCGTCCTTGTATGATGAAAAAAAAAAAAAAAAATAGGGATTATGGAAATAAGGGATAAAACTCTTCCTTTGGGAGATGGGAAAAGAAAAGGGTGAAAAACGGATATATTGCTGGTGGTCATCTAGGGAACATAACGATAACAATAAGAACATCAAGGTAATGATAGCAGAAAAGAAAAAAAGAAACACATGTTTTTTTTTTTTTTGTTGTTGTTGTTGTTGTTCTCTTGGTTTATTATTTTAGTTTTATTTTCTTCTTTTTTTTCTTTTACTTTTTTTTTTTTTTTACAATTATAGGGGATAAAGAGGTGTTATGATAGCGTCAACGGCAACAACAACAGAAAACATTTCCTACGCAGCCTTAAGTACTGGCGAAGGTTCAACCACCACACCGTCTAGCACGTTTTCAACCAATGCAGTGAGTCGTAGTCTTTCAGATATGCATGTTCCTACTTGGTTTGGACTACTGAGTATGAACATTGTCTTTCGGACTATGTTATTTCATCCACTAAATCTTGTTATTTCTCGTAAACGTGTAACTAAAGAAGGGCATCCACCTTCGGTAATGTCTTTGGCTCGTCAGGCTTACCGTGGTGAAGCAGCAACAGGAACTGGTCCCACTACGAAAGGTATACGTGCCCTTTACAGAGGATTTGGTGCCGCTATTATTGGAAATCTAATTGGTGAAGTGACCTATCTCCACACAATGGAGTCTGTGAGGGAATATCTGGAGAGTTCCTCCCCTAATTCACAGAAGAAGGACTCTTCAGAGGGGCCAAACTTCAACGTAAATAGTTTTGCTGTATCTTCAGGAGGTGTGATGGGAGAACTCGCCGCCGTTCTTCTTGTTACACCCATAGTTGTTGTATGTAATCGACAGATGACCTCTGGCTACGGTATGACGGCTGGAAACACATACCGCTCCGCGTGGGGCACCGCACGTGAAGTGTTTGGACTTTATCAACAACCCACCGGTTCGTGGCTTCAGACCGTACGGCGTGGGTTTCGTGGGCTTTACTCTGGTCTTCTTCCCGGCATTGCGGGGCTTCCGGCGAGTGGGATGTGGTGGGCACTCTACAGTGAGTCCAAGTCGATGCTTTACACTCTCACACAACCAACACTCGCACGATGGGAACAGGCGAGAGTAAAGAATAATCAGGGACAACGAGAAGCTGTGTGGAAACAGAACTTCTTCCTTTCTCCCACAGACAATCCAGCCATTAACGCCTTGGCAGGTATGATAGCGAGTGGGGCGACGGCGGTGGTGTTTAACCCGGTGGATGTTCTCCACACAAGATTGCAGGCATTACCACCGTCAAAAACTCCCGCGGCAGAAGCCGTACCATTTGGGCGTATACGGCAAATTACGGGAGATCTCATTCGTACGGAAGGATGGCGGGGTTTCTTTAAAGGAACAGTGGCGAGTACAAGTGTTGCAGTTCTTAACGGCATCGTGTTCTCGTTGTTCTTTGAACTCACAAAACTCGGTAGCGATCGAGAGTTCTTAAACCAGCTTTAAAGAGAAGGAATGCAAAGGAAAATTAAAGAAGATAAATATACTAAAGAAAAGAAAAAAAAAAAACAATATTGTTTTTTTTTTTTCTGATTTGTTTTCACATACGTGCGTGCGCTGGGAATGTGGATCAACGCGGTTTTCAAGAAGAATAAGAAAAAAAAAAAAAGGCTCACCCTGCTCAAAGAAACGAAAGGGAAAAGAAAAAATTATTTTTCTTTGATGTTCGTCTCTTTTTTTTTCTTGTGGTGGTTTTTTTTTTTCCTTTAATGGTCACGGCTGTGATACCCACAGGTTCTTGTTTTTTTTTTTGTTGTTTCCTTTTCTATATTCAGCTGCATGTTAATCTGCAAGGAAAAATCTCATAGCGTTTCATTTTTTCTCTATTTCTTTTCTTCGGAGGAATATATGAGTCCCAGAGATTGCAGCTAAGTAGTAATCTCATAAGGTAATACGCTTGGATTGCTTCCACATAATGAATTTGGTGATATTTCTCTTCACTTCAGTGTTTGTGCAGAACCATTACCATAGTTTCAGTAATCACTCTTGATGTTTTTTTTTTTTTTTTTTTTGGTTCTCTATTATTTTCTGAAAGTTTTTTATTTATTTTATTCTTCTTTTACTATTTTCTTTATATTTCCCCTCACCCCCTACTTCTTGTTTTACTGTTGTAGAAGCAGCAGAAAGGATACAACGAACTTGAGTAGGAATAGATAGAGAAAGAAAGACGCACAACACAAAATGGCTACGCTTGGTGGTGCTGACATTGAAGAGCTCGTCAAGCAGATAACGGATCACCCTGGTGTACAGGGGTTGATCATTGTGAATACTGATGGCATTCCAATTCGACACACCTTTCAAGAGCATTCGCGACTGCTCGCCGTGCAGTACAGTGCGTTATTTCAGAGTTTGGCAATGAAGGCCCGGAGTGCTGTGATTGATCTAGACAACAACAATGATCTCTTATTTCTGCGTGTTCGATCAAAGAAACACGAGGTACTTGTGGCGCCAGATACAAAATATCTGCTGATTGTTATCCAACAGGTAGATAACGCTGGTGAAGTTCCTATTGGAAATGGAAAGAAGGCATAAGATTCTCAAGTTATTCAAATGTGTGAAAAAAAAAAATCAAGAATTTACACACTGAATTTTCTTTTTTTTCTTTTTTGTTCTTATCCTGCTTTCTTTTTTTCCTATTTCTTCTTCATATCCCATTGTAATTTTTCTTTTTTTTTCAATGGGAGTGCTCTTATGAAGTAATCAAGCGTTGGAATGAGTGAAAAAGAAAGAAAAGATTCTGGTGATAGTAGTGATGGGAGGAAAGGAGTTATTTCACACTGAACCTGAGGAGAAAGAGTACTCTTTCGAATCACTCTTTTCATTACTTCTTTTTTTTTTCCCTCACTTCTTTCTATCTCCTTTTTCTCTCTCTTTTTTTTTTCTATATGTACGTACAGATGAAGAGTGAATGATATGTTAGTCTACCACTCAATTTTTTTTCTTTTTTGTATCTTTGTTTTTCTCTCTCTGTATGTGTGTTTGTTTGGTATTATTAGTTTCTCTTGTAAGAAGGATGTGAAAAACATTATTTCTATGCACGTAATACATATTTTGATTTCTTCTGTCTTTATTTTTTTTTCTCTTTTTTCTGTGGGGTTGTGAAGGGGGAAGTAATAGTTAACGATTGCAAAAGAAAAGAAAAAAAATAGAAGAAGTAAAGAGGAAAGAATTGTTTCTGGTCAAATCATTATACACTAGAGATGACTGCAGATGATTACAGCACAGTGCTTGCAAATGCTCTGCAACGGCTAGAAACTCTGAAGGGCCACGTGCAAGCTACACAGATAGAACAAGATCGCAAGGAGTGTTTATTGCGAGAACTAGAGGCACGCTTAGAAGAATTACGAGAAGAAAAGGAAAAGCTATCTCAACGAACACGGGAGCTTAATGCTGATACAACTCTGATTGTAAATGAGTTACGTGTTTATGAGGAATTAGAAATGCTAGATTGTATGCTTTCAGAAAAGAATACACAATTGATGAAGAAACAAACACAACATGAAGCATTACTTCAACAGTTAGCTAATATGGAGACAGAGTTAGGTGCATCTCGGAGATATAAAGAAATTTCACAAGAGGATTATTATCATGATGATAATAATAATAATAATAATAATAATAATAATGATGGTAATGACTCTTCTTCTTCAGCATCTCACTGGAAGTACTGTTGTAATTACCTACTTTCTCATGTGGAAGGAATTAACCGTTATTCCCTTCTTCAACCTTCTCATTTGGGGAGTCATCCAGTTTCGGTTTTTCACCAGAGTGTTCGTAAGATGTATCGGACGGCACGTGAGCGCGAAGAAGAATTGGCTATTCAATTCAAGTACGTAGACAAACAGCTAGAGGAAGTCTTATCATTAGATAACACATTAGGCGCTATTGAGAGAGATTACAGACATGAAGAAAAGAGGTTGGAACGTGAAAATCAAGAAACGATACAAACCATGAAAAAGGTAGCAGCAGTTGAAACCAAAAAACTTCGTAAAGAACTTCAAAAAGTGGTAGATGATCATCAAGACCTTATGGAAGGTTTAAGAGCACAAGGGATTCACCATGTGGATGGTGAATTGTTATCCTCTTCTTTAGCAGATATTGCTGATATGATTTCTTCTACATCTGGTGATCAAGTGAATATCTCTCAAATTGATGATGCAAACATAGACTCTGTGAATGCATATAAATCAGATTTAAAATCTGTGGTTGTTATTCAACCATCACATCCACGTAAAAAAGTTCTTGAGTTTAATGGTATTATTTCAACCTCTGCCTTTACACCTCTTTCTCCTATTGGTGATGATAATACTAATATACATACTCCCAATGAGGTAAATAGAAAAATTGTTCCATATGCATATTCTTCACCAACTATAATAGACCCAGAGATTGAGGAACTTCAGTCTCAAGTCGCTGCTGCAGAGAGAAGTGCTCATAGACTTGAGCAGGGCTATGAAACACTAAAAGAGGAGACTAGTCGATCTCTTTGCGAAGAAGATGCAAAGATAGAAGCTATGGAGGCAAGACTTGCTGCAGCCCAAGATGCTTTGGAAATGCTTAAGAAGGAAAAGGCTGAATGGGAGGCTCTACATAAGCAGATGTCTTCATTATTATCATAATACACAAGGGACAAATTAAGTCTGTTCTTTGAAATAAAAATAAAAAATAAAAAAATGAAAAATATTCTTGCTGTGGTTTGTGTTTGACTTTTTTTTTTATTATTTATTTAGATTTCAAGCTGTTGAGCGACTAATAAAAGCAAGAGTGAGTGTAAATGATTATGAGGATGAAGTTTAAACGACAGTAAAAAGTGATCTCTTTTTTGTTTCTTTTTTTTTTATCTTTCTTACCTCATATATTTATTTATTTATGAGGTATGTATACATGTATCTACAATTTAAATCGTATCGTTTATTGTTGATCCCTTTTTTTTCGTGTTTTTTCTTTTCTCTCTTTTGCTGTTTTAATGTTACCCTGTTTTTGTTTTTGTTTTTATTTGTTTAATGACTTGTGCATTTTTTATTTTTACCTATTTCTCTCTCTCTCTCTCTCTCTCATTTTTATTTACTCATGACTAGACATGGTTATTCGTGAGTACAGGATGAACCCCTCGAGGCAATCAAATCCCAGTGGCACCAATAGAGGTAATGGTCTGAGCAATAGTAATACTGATAGCAATTTTGCTCTTGTTGCTAATACAGGTGTGGCGATTGGAGGGATATCACGTGGTGTTCTCCCGTCTATGGACGTGGAGCAGTTTCAAATGTTTCTGCGGGATGTTGCCCTACGCGGTGATATTGCATTCCCCGACATTCCCCAACACCAACACGAATCCTTCTTCGCAATGGCGGCCACATGCAGTCAGGCATGCCGTGTGGTTGTGGATCCCAACGGCACACTACACCTGCGCAGCGGCCCCGCCAATCCATACTTGCGAGAACAAATCGCCCGAGAACTCCACCGACTGCACATGGAAGGCGTGAAAACATCACGGGATGATCCACCTATATTGGAGTGGGGCTTTATAGATCGCACTGTACACCGCGAGGTGGTGACATTACTGCAGCTTCTTGCATTCGATATGGGCATATTTATTGGACAGCCGTTATTTGATGGAACATATTTGTATCGAATTGAAGTTGCCCTACATTATTTCCCACGATGGGAAGAGGAGAGGCGGAAACTCATTGACCCCGCTTTACAGGGAGATGCAGATCCTTTTCCAATTCCCTTGACAACACTGCGAAATCCACGAGTTATGGATGTATACCGACGAGAAATACGTCCATTTCTTTATGAAAGAAATTGTAAGGTAACGCGGTGTTTGGTAAATATTTTACGAGACTCAGGTGGAAAGATACCGGGAGATGCACGTACATTGGGCTCTTCTTTTTCCCTACGACATGAAGTAAATGTAAATGGACAGGTATTCTTTAGACGATGGACACGACATCTGGTACAGGTATTTCTTAAGTATGCAGAAGAGCTTAAACGGCAAGACCGAAGGGGTGTTGAAGCTATAATGAAGTCTTATGGTAACGATATTGACCCTGTAGACGCAGAGGTTATGACACCTCACTTTGGTTTTTTCAACTATTGTCTGGAGGAACGATACTTTCGCAAAGACATGGCGGAGTTGGAGGACCTCTCGCGTCGCGCAGGATACTTTGTGCGTGTATCCATTGAGGATAATTTTGCTGTAGTTGCGGCAACAGCAAGACAGAATCCGGAGCTGAGTGATGAATATAAAACTGTATTTTCAGGGTACGCTGGGGCAGGAGAAAATAAGGTTGCCAGAGTTGCGTACAGTAGAGATACTCAACAACAACAACAACAACAACAATATCATCATCACAGGGAGCCGCAGAAATTGCAAATACAAGAAGGAATACATGCACAACATCGTTATATCAATGAAGGAATACTACAAGCTGGTCCTGGTAGAAGCTACAGCAGAAGCGACAGTAGTGGTAGTGACAGTGGTAGTAGTGGCAGTAGTGATAACGCTAGCGACAGCAGTGACAATAGTCAAAGAGGAAGAAGAATGGGAAGCGGAATAAAGGAATTAGATGAAAATGATATACGTGTTATAAGGGTTATACAAGCAGAAGAAGGGAGGACTACTCTTCCCACCCTTAATGTTTCTGGTTTCGCGGTAGAGCCCAGGAGAGAGTCGCCAAGAGTCTATTCTCTTGCCGCAAGTACTCTTTACGACACGATTGTGGGGAGGTTGCAACGCACTCTTCCTCCTGGATGGAATGTGCGTTGTGGTCCTGGAGGAGGCCGATATTTCCTTGATCATATTAGAGGAAGGGCCTATCCTAGAGATTCTTCTGCAGTCTCAATGGAGTGGGCAGCAAATCAACGGGAGTTGTATAACGTAGCAGATTCTATGCAGTAATTATTGTGAAAGTGTTTTTCTCATTTTTATACACTTTAATTTGTTTCCCCTCTTTATGTTTTACTTTTTGCTTTATGTCTATATCTTTTTTTATTATTTCTTGCTTCTTTACTCCCTCACTTCCTTTCTTCCTGTTTCCCTTTTCTTCCTACATGTGAAGTCTTATTTACTCATATTTTCACGTAACAACCTACCCCCTGCCCGAGGCTTAGCGTGTGTACGCACGAGAGGAAACATTGTTCTTGCCCTTGTTCTACGGAGAAAAAGGAACGGAGAGGAAGTGTGAAATAGGAGCGGATAGTTGAGGTAAATATATATATATATATATACATAATTGGGATAAAAATAAGTACACATACATTGGTAAGAGCATATTAGGAGAAAAAAAAAAAAAGAAAGGATAAAGGATAATAGCAAACGGAAGATAATTGAGGATTTGCACTCTTCTTTCTTGTTGTTCTTGTTATTTTTGCAAAGTGTTTTTGTTGTTGTTGTTGTTGCTCCTGTGTGTCTGTCAGTGCCTCTTCGTGTAACTTAATTGCCTATCAGTTGTATATATACATATACAAGTGAAAACCACAGTGGAAGAAGAGAAAGGAAGAAAAAAAAAGAGAAAGGCAAAGGGGTAAAGGAATCCTTGTATTCATTATCATCACGCCTGTTCAGAAGGAGTAGGAATATATGCTGGAAGAAGCAACTCCGCGTGCCCAGCTGCATCTTCACCGGATTCTGAGTGGATATGGTGGCAGCACTAATGGGGATACAACAACACGAGTTGGAACATCCATTCGGAGTTCTCCCCCGCAACAATTTGCGACAAAGAGTCGTGTGAACTTCTTAACACCACAGAGCAACAGTGTATTATTAACTCACACTGATACCCGGGAGAAAACTGTTACGGCGAGTAGTACTCCAAACAATAATGGATATCGTGTTTCCACAGGAAAAAGTATTACAATGTCGCCACAACGAAGGGGTACATCAAGTTCACCGCGGGTAAAAACTTCTCGTATGTTGGTAGACCTAATGGATTTTCCACATGAAATGGACTCACGACATCATACTTTCCGTCGAGATGGAAATACACAAAATACCTCTCAGAGAACACGACGGGTTGTGAGTGTTCCAAGTACAAAATACAATTTGATGCAAGATGCATCTTTGAGAGAAATGGAAATAAGGGATTTATTGACAAGTATGCACACACGTCTTAGTAGCAGCAGTATTAGCCAAGGAAATGATATACGACGTCACATGCAGCAAGTTGAAAGTGACGAGGCCTTTGCTCGTCAGTTCATGGAAGAACTTGTTAGCTTCTATGCAGAGGGTGTACAGAGCTCCATAGATCGCGAAGAAATATCATTAAGATTATTAAAAGACACCACATCTACATTGTCGCGGGTTGGCCGGTTTCTCCAAACACCACCTGAAGAGGTATTACGAGACCCGGAGTGGCATTTATTACGGTTTCGAGATAATGCGATGCAGGATCAATCTTTAAATATGGTTGACATCCTCCTTTCGCTTCAACGTTTTCCTGCCACTATGGTTGCTAATTATGAACGTCTTATGGCAGTAGCTAATGGTGTAACGGAGGTAGAAGAACCAACACCAATGCTTTCAATACCCCAACCACACCCACAGCAGCAGCAACAACAACAACAACAGCAACCACCACCACAACAGCAATTACAGCAACAGCAACTACAATCACAAGAGCCTAATACGTTTGGTCGTCGACCGTCGTCAGTGTTTTCACGTTGTGGAAGCGCTCATCCAACAGGTTTTCGTTCATTTCTCCCTCGCAGTGGAATGATGAGTCCTCCTGGGGCAATGGTTATGAGTGCTAGTCTTGACAGTGTTGAAGATATGCCTTCCAGTTCTACTATTATGGCTCACACTGTAATGCGTCGGATGGAACGGGAGGCTGACACCGCGTGGGCTATAGAGGATCTGCAGGAAGAAAGTGCCTACTGGCAAGAAGAAACTCTGCGGGCTATGTCAGAGGCAGAGAGATATATTCAGATGGCATGCACACTCCTAGGTTGTCCACACTCAACTGCTACTAATGGAGTTGGTGAGATTGGATCTCGAAGGATGTCTATAACAGCTGTGGGCTCAAACTCGCAAAAATTTTTCGTACATCGGGTTTTTATCCAGCTGCTTATTGAAAAAGAAGAAGGTGAACGTGGCAAGATTGAGGCCCAAGAGTCAAAGGAGTGGTGGAATTGTTGGATTGCCGCATGTGAAAGGGATTCGCCAAACATCTCCTTTAAAAAGAATGGTTTTTCAGTGAATCTCGAAAAGGAGGTATTTATCAGAAAAAGTGAAGATGGCATCAGTTGCGTACGATCTGTTGATGACCTGGTAAATAATATACATATGGATGATTCAAAAGAAGAAGGGGGAGTGAGCTCTACTCGTCCTTCTGGAGATGAAGTGGCTTTCTGCGGTAGTACTTGCGAGGATGAGGCACATTAAAAGATAAATATGTGAAAAAAAAAAAAAAATGCCTCATCCTCGCTCTATTAAATTTCGTTTGGTAAACGAATTCACATTTGTTCTTCTTCATAGTTGAGAAAATAAAATAAAGAATCTTCTCTTCTATAAAATGGGCGATGATGGCTTGCTCATATACGAGCCGATTCTTCTAATTCCTCCATTGCATCCCATTCTAGGGGTTCTCTGTTACTTTTCTCAGGTAATTCTCTTCACATGTCCGTGTATTGATCTACCTGCTAGATTAGAGGAGGACATATATATATATATTATATTGAAGGCAAATAGACGGGCGTGTTCTTTGATTTACACAAAGTTGACTGCTAGACGTTGTCATTATTGTTGTGTACGCGCACACACACGCACACACACACACAGACACATACATAGTCATTACCCCCTCATTCTCTCTGGATGTGTGTGTATATGTGTGTTTTTATTTTTGAAATGTGCATCTTTGTGTTTGTCTGCGTTTCTGTGCTTATGTGTGTGTGTGTGTGTTTGTGCATGCGTTTTTTGGTTGTATATATCTATGTAATCTAATCAGCAATGATTTAAAGATAGGATGGGAAACATTAGGAGATGTGGAAAAGAGAAGGGATTTGTTTTTAATTGTTTTTTCCCCTTTATTTTGTTCTTACATTCTACCTGCTTGTTTTCTTTCATTGATCTTTTTTCTATCTTTTTTTTTTTATCTTTTTTGTGTGCTTAGTGGAAATCAAGGGACAGTGGGAGGAGTGGTGCGCTCACGTCATTGAGGGGTGTAAAGAAAAAGAAGTACAACAGGGGGAAAGAAAGGAAGAAAAAAAAAAAACGAAAATGAGAATAAGGGAATTGACACCAGTAGGGGAGTTGAAATGAGTGAATAAGGAACACAGAGAGAAATAAACAAGAATCATGTTGTCTCTTTATGTTCTTGATTTTCTTTGTGTCTATGATTCTTGTGATTACCTGGAGTTTTCTTTTTCTTTTTTCTTTGGTTTGTTTTTCTCTTTTATATGCATCTTTCTGTGAAAGTTGCGGATCTGTTCTTCACTAGTATTTGGACTTTCCTTGTGGTCATCTCCCTTATTTTTCTGTTGTTGTTTCTTTTTCTCGGTTTTTTTTTTTTCGTTTAATCATCGTTGTTGTGTGCTTATTTCTGTATTAGTGGGGTAAGTTTCCGTTCGTGTGTCTGCAGAGCTGTCAGCAACTACGATGTGAACATAATATATTCATTCATACATCCCAAATGAGATCTTTCCCCATTTACATGAAATTGGGAAGAAAGTTATTAAGATTGGGGGAGAGAGAAAAGAAGAGAAATGCCCATAAGGCTGATCTGAATACAAAAGAAAGTTTCCGTGCGTTTTTTTTTTTTTTGCTTTTTCATTGTTCGTCTTTTTCCAATTTCAAGTCCATAAAGTTTTGATGTATTGCATTTACACATAAATACATATAAACATGTACGCACATGCAGAGAGTGTGAGAGAGAGAGAGAGAGAGAGCGAAAGACACAGAGGCACGAATTATCTTTGTCTCCGGTGTGTGTTTTTCACAGGCGCATTCATTTTTTTGTTTTTGTTGTTTTTGCTTTTTCTTTTTGCAGGTCCTGCTGCTTCAACTCAATTCTTTGTTTTTTCTCGAATTCCCCGTTCCCTCTGTCCCTTGTTCGTATGTGGAAATGTATTCTTTATTTGTTTGTTTGTTTATTTCCTTCCCCTCTCTTTCTATCTGTCTATCGAGTTTGCTTGTTTTTTTCTCTGACGTCTCCTTCTGTGTTGGTATGTATGTGAATGTGTGGGACTTTTTCTTTGTTTTCTTTTTTTGATTTTTTATTAATGTTTACACACATGAACGTGCAAACACACCGATAGGGATATATATATGTAGAGAGTGACTGAGTGAGTGAGGTGATAGAGAAAGAGAGATAGGGAGTGAGAGGGAAAGAAATACTCAGAGCAATACACACATCCCAATATGAAGTTGTATGTTTTCGCTCCAGTACCTGTAAGTGTTACAATTATTCAATGAATTGACGATATGATATTTTCTTTCAAAAAAGAAAAACAGGTCTAACCGTACGCGGGTGAGTGAATTGATGCTACTGTTGCATATAAAGGGACACACATATATATATGTACTTTATCTTTTTTTCTCTCTCGAGTTATTTTTTTCCCCCTCTTAATCAGTTGTTAAATCAAGTATGAAACTCTCCTTATTTCTGCTGTACTCCAAATAAATTAAAATAAAAAAACGGGGTTTTTTGAATTCTTTCTCAGTATATTTCTCAGATAAAACGCAAGGCAATAACTAGAAAAAAAAAAATCAAAAAAGTAGCACACAAAGCTTAACAATAAAAAAAATAATAATAATAAACGATGACAATGGCACGTCTTTTTGTTTTTTCAGTTCTCTTATTATTCATCCTTGGAGTTATCACTGGAAGGACATCTGAAACAAACCAGGAAATTGCTCAGATTGTCTTCATCAGCTGTAATAAGCACGATAGAGAACAAAGTTACTGGGATCTTATAGCATCCACTGTAGAACATAGAAATCAAATGAAGACGCGTATTACTTCTCCTGGTCATACGTTGGGTAGTTGCACAGCTATCACTCCTGTTGATGCACTTGTGTGGTTAGGGGATGCGGTGTATGCAGATAATTACTCCCTTGTAGGTGGTTCATTCCCGAATAGCAATTTAGAAGTTATGCGGTCTAAGTTTGTGCAGCAGCGAAACGCCCCAGAGTATACGGCCTTCCGTCGCACATGTGTACGTCGCCGTGATCCCTCTCAGTTAAAGTATTCAGATGAGGAGGAGAACTCTATTCTTGGTGTTTGGGATGATCATGATATGGGCAAGAATGATGGTGGGGCAGAGTATGAAGGAAAAGACGACGTACAAGAAATTTTTCTTGATTTTCTTGGTCTTTCCAGCGAAGACCCACGCCGCAAACAGCAGGGGGTTTATAGTTTTGAAGCCATTCCTTTTCAAAGTTTAGAAGTCCAAGCAGGTGAAACTGATAATAGTGATGATGCTGATCATGACAATAAAAAGAATCATCAAGATGACACTGTTGATGGAAAACCTTCTATTAAATATCTAGCGTTAGAACAGCTGAAGCGTTTGTATGATGCGGCGGTGTGTGTTGTTCTTCTTGATGTTCGTTACTTCCGTGATCCCGCAAATGCCACTCGTAGTGGTGACATGTTAGGTGAGCCGCAGTGGAGATGGTTGGAAGAGCGGCTCCGTGATGATATTGCCGGTGTAAACCCGCAAACAGGTCGTGAACGCTGTGCCCTAACCGTTATCGGTAGTGGCGTGCAAATCATTATGGATGAGAAAGTGAGTGAAAGTTGGGGTGCCTTCCCTAAATCCCGTGATCGTCTGCTCATGCTGCTGCGTAAATACCACACCGAGCGTGTGTTATTTGTCAGTGGGGATGTACACCTTGGTGAGATTGGAATGGATAGCACGAAGAGTGCAATGCATACACTTGGGTACCCTATCATTGAGGCAACAAGTTCTGGACTGACACATAGTTCAGCCAAGTTTATTGGATTGCCTACACTTATTAATGTGATTTTTCCCTCACCTCGCCGTGTTGGTATCTATGTTGAGCGCAATTTTGGAGTCTTACAGTTGACTGTGAACTCAGAGTTTAAGGATACATGGTCTAAAGGGACGAATGAAATGGAGAGACATCGTCTGGAAGAGTATATTAACGTATCCATCTCAATTCATAGTATTCCAAAACATGGACAATCTGTGTTGGACCTCACATTTCCACTAAGTGCTCTCACTCACCGTTCAGGTTGTCATTTTTTCAATGCGAACGTTGATAAATTTGGTAGAGTTGTAAAATCAAAAGCTGGTATGAGTCAAAGATGTAGTGTAATATCAGAAGAAAGTTATTATGATAAGGATTCTATTATACCTCAACATTATCCTTCGACTAAACCTACTCCTTTTCTTACTTTTACTATTCAGCTTATTCAACGTTGCGTATTTCCAACATATACGCTATTACAGGTGGTTTCGGAAACAATAAAAATCTCTGTGATAGTTGGAATAGTATTGATCATTACTCTTACTATCTATTGTTGTTATAGAAGTACTTCAAACAAATCGAAAGTTGCGTGACAGTGCGTACGAGTCTTTTCCTTTTTTTATTTATTTATTTTATAAGTATGAATATGTCTTGTTATGCATGTTTATATCTGTGTATATCTGTTTATCTATTTATTGATCTAACATGCCGAATATATATATATATATATACCTCTCTGAATGTCATTTCTCTAGGGGTAAGAAGGGAGAGATGTGCATGCGTACTTTTCCTTTTCTACACTATGTTAGTGTGTCAAACTTATCTGTATTCTCAAGAGGGAGGACCACAGATTAACACTCTTGTCTACCCGCGTTGTAGACATCACACACACACACACACACACACAACCTCTCACACTCAATCTTTTCTCGCAGAATTCCGAACACTACAAAGATCTTCCAAGTGAAAGTATTCCTCCTGTGATGTGTTAATGCATTCCAGACTTGGATGATGTTCGCATGTTTTTTTTTGTTTTTTTTCGTGTGTGTGTGTGTGTGTGTATGTATGTTATTACATTTACAAGTGTATTCATTTCTTTGGGGGTATTTGCATATACGGGGAACGTATGTGGGTTGTTTTTCTCCTTTATTCATTCTGTTGCTCTTCTTTTATTTATTTTTTTTCTTCTTGTAAAACGGTTTGGAACACATGAAATCATCGTTTGTTAGCAAAGAAAGAAAAGAAAAAGAAAGAGAATCACTTTCTCCCTGTTATCTTTTCTTTTTGTTCTTGTTGTTGTTTTCCTCCTCTCCGTTTGAGAGTATAAACGGTTCTTCCAATGGCAGAACCCACACGGGAGGATGAAGTTACGACCACGCAAGAAGGCGGCGACTCCGCAAAGACTGCCGTCGCTTCTCTCACCACAGCGGCTTCTGCGGGTGTAGTGGCGGTGACCTCTTCACAATCCGCCCTCCTCTCAACACCTCGCAGGGGGCCACTCATTCCTCTCACACCAATGGAACGACGGTTAATAATGGGTGCCACACGTGTTGGAGTTACGATAGCAGATGGACTTCTTCTTTCCAGTACAGTACTGAATCCGGTGATCACTGTAGCTTTCGTCGCATATGAGTCTATTCGTTCAATACATGACTACTACCGCGGTGAACTCAATACTTTAGGATATCGTACCAGTTTGAGTGATGTATCATTACGTATTGGAAAAGAAGTTGGAACAGCTGCTATTGGAATTGGTATTGGACATGCTGTAGGAACACTTATCGGTTTAAGTGCTATTCCAGTAGCGGGACAAATTGCTACTGCAACAGTTATTTCTGTTGTTTTAGGTATTTGCGTTGGTACACTTCTTACACGATATGCTGACCGACTCTTTATACGTTTACAATTACAAACTCAGTATGGATACTCTCCCGATGAAGAAAAGGCCCGTAAGAGGTTTGAAAAATTACTTGAATCAGAACATGATCTTTCTTCTTTTGCAGTTTGTCGAATAGTGCAGCACTATAGAGATTACCGGGTGGCATGTGGATGGGAAAGTCATACAGATGTAGATGACTATAGAGCTACTGGAGATATTACAATGATGCCTGTTTCATTTCAACATTTTGCTATTATACAGTTACAACGTAAATGGGGATTCCTTAATGGACGTAGTGAATGTAAAAAAGTTTATAAGGCTCTTATGTTGCTACATCATCCCGATAAAGGTGGGGATACTGAACTTGCTGCACATCTTAATCATGATTTTGAAATCTATGCTTTTTGTCAAGGATGGCAAGAAGATTGTCCAACAATTAATCAAGCAGAAGTTTCTGGAAATCAAGGGAAAACATCTACTAATACGTTTAAAAAACGAAAAAAGAACGTTGTCGTAGACTTTTTACGTTCCCTATTTCGTCAAACAAGTAATTCTACTGTAGAAGCTGAAGATCTTCGACAATATGGTCTTTTAGCTTTAGAAGCTGGAACTCCGTTAGAGTTACATAGGTTTGATGAATTAAATTGGGATACTATTGATAAGGAAGAAGAGGAGGAAGAAGAAGAAGAAGGATTAAATGGTAACCCTTTGTTTGGTACAAGTGCATCTGTTAAACAACGTAGTGTCGCTCGTGTACTTGCATCTATTCAACGTTGTTATCAACTTGCTACTGAAGCTACTACTTTTTCTGGACTAGTTCATATCTACAGGGAAAGAGAACAGTGGTCTAGATTACGACATGACGTTTTTATGTTTAACCGATTACAAATGTTTGTGAATATTGCTGAAGAAATGAATTTATTTTATACTCCTAATTCCTCTTCTAAATCCTGTCATTACTATTCTTCTCATAACTTCAGGTGGTGTACAAGAGATGAAGCGGTAGCAGAACGAGAAGAACGTCGGAAATCCATTGTTTCCCTCTGTTTCTCTGAAAGTGTCTCCTCTAAGTTGACTGAAGCCCTTGAACTTTGGAGAACCGCACAAGGACTAGCTGAAAGTTTTTTTAAACAATCTTCTACTAGTGATGCGGAAGCTGCTGAAGGGACAGGACAAACACTTGATACACTTTTAAATATTCAGAAAGCTTTACAAGAAATAACTGAATCTTGTACAAACTCTTGGAAACATTCTTATTGCTCTATTGAGGATTATAAAGAACTTTTATTTGTAGAAGAAGTCAGAGCACTTGGACTCACTGCGAGTTGTGCTCTTGCTGGAGCTCATGCTATAACTATACATGATAAAATGCGTAAAAATTGTGAGGATTATTATAGAGGTAGAGAAAGAAAGATGCAAACAGTGACCTCTCTTCTTAATGAATTACATGAAATACAATCTGATCTTGCAAAAGCTACTATTGATGAACGTGATATATTACAGAAACGTTATAATGATTATCTAGATGAATTATATTTTGTACATCGTGTTTTTAGTGAAGTAGATTCTATTACAAGTGAATTATATGATATGTACACAATGTATCTCCCAGAAAATTTTAGTTTACTTAAGGAATTACCTTCTTCTTGCGCACGTTGTGTTTATGAAACTCTTAAATTACCTCGTTTTGTAAAATATGAAAGAGAACGTACTTTAATGAATTATATAAATCTTGAAATAGAACCTCGAAATGCGATGGATTGTTCTAGATATTCATTAAATGAAGAAACTTCATTAGAGTCTGTTAATAATGAAGTTAAAGAAGTAGAATTCGCTTTACTTCGTGCACAATATATGGATCCAATTAGTGGAACTCTTACTCCTTGTTGGCTTAAACGTTATATATTTCCAAAATCTGATACAATAGAGAGTAAAAATGATAATACTGAACTTTTTAAACATATTATGAAGGATGAACTTCATATTCCTGAATCATGTGCAAGTAAAAATGTGACATATGTAAGTGATGTATTTTGTGATAATTATACTCAACAAATTTATTTCCATATACCACGTGGTGGAACTCAATTACGTTTTAGTTCCACACATGATGTAAGTAAAAGGATTATGCGACTGGGTGTTCGATGGCTTCATGATGCTTTACAGTCTATTATTGAAATTCATTCATGTCTTTTAGTTCATGGTTCTATTTGTCTTGCAAATTTTACATATGATGATTTTGGAAATACAACTTTGGGGTTTTTCTCTAATTCTGTGGGTAATTCTTTAAGAGATACCCTAACACCATTGGATGATGTTATAGATTTTGGTGCCTGTTTACATGCAGAAGTTATTCCATATCTTCAAGGTGTAATTTCAGGTTCAAATGTAGCACGGTTTTCACCAACAGCAACTAAATTTGACGAAAATTTTCCTGCAGCAGAAGAATGGAAACAAAAACAACAAGAAATTATTAATGTTTATCGAGAAGTTGCTGACCGTTTAATTGGAAAAATTGAGCCTCGTTGGACATTATTAGATGCTAGAGGATTTGTAAGAAGATTTCTTCAATTTAATTATGATAGTGATGAAAGAAACTACCTCTTTACCAAGGAAATCGCATATCCTGCCTATTGGGCAATTTATAAGAGTATTGCTCCACATTCACTTGTTTCTGGTCATCATGTATTTCCAAATCTACCGAAAGGTATAAGTGTATTCCTAAATCGTAACGTTCATCTTTGGGAATTATACTGGAAATGTCGTAGAAAAATGTTGCAACTGCGTGGTGGTAGTTTTTTTTCCCTCCCTGCAGAGGTAAAAGGACGAAAACCCTTTCTTCCTTGTACAGACGAATGTGAAGTAAATGAATGGTTCCTCTGGCACACCTGCAGGGATGAAGAAGAGACTTGGCAAGTTTGTATTGAAGGAATCTCTAGCGCAAGTGTTCAACTTTGTTTTACACCACCATGGATGCGAGAAGAAGAAAAAAAATCTACCGGAAAAAATGAGGGAAGTGGAAGTACTATCTGGGGAGTGGTGTTTCGTGTTTCCCTTGGAACTGTTTTAGAAAGCGACGAAAAAACCATGAGTGAAGAAGATGGTGGGGCACAACGTTTTGCCTCTTCCTTGGCGTACGACCTGGAGCATTCTGCGAAGCAGAAATGTGTACTTGCAAAGGGCAACGTAACTGATGTTAATTCGTCCCCTGATGTACTTGTCCCTTCACCTAATGCACGATGCTATCCTGAATTTATGATTGGTATTCCGGTCTCGCAAGCTGTGGTTGCTTCATCGCCTATTTAGAACGTGAGGCGAGGCAAGTTCTCCACCCTCAGCGCGGCGTTTGTTGTTGTTGTTGTTGTTTGGTTTATGTTTTATTATTATTATTATTATTATTATTATTATTATTATTATTATTTTATTTTTTTTTTTGACAGCTTGCGAAAAGAATAATTGAGTCTTGCGCCAAATACCAACTGAATAGGGTAAAGTAATATTATATTGATAATTTCTTATTATCTTTTCTTCACAGTCTGCCGAACGCAAGTTTCGTAAAACCACCCACCCAACCCTACCCTCACCGTCCCGATCGGGAAGCGGGTTAAAAGGGCTTCTCACCACTTCCAATTCGTCAGTTCTGGCATTAATTAGGGAAGAACCAAAGAGGAAAAAATTATTGGGATGCATATATGAATATCAGGGGGAAAGTGGGGTTTATAAAGATAAATTATCTTATTACTCTTTGTTTCTTCTATTTATTTTATTTATTAAATGGGAAAGAAAGGTTTAGATTATTCTGACAACTTGCGAAAAGAATGATCGACTCTTAATTGGGAATAAATTTCCGCATGGGATTTGACCCTGGGAATGTTATTTGCGCCCTGACCCCTTCCCATTTTCTTAACGCACATATATATGTATGTATCCTGATGTTTTCCGCCCCAAAGGCCTGCCGATTCACCCCCCAGGTTGGATGGCGGAACTGGAGAAATGGAAGTGCCAGGGGAAACCCTTTTTTTTTTTTTTTTGATTTGGCCTTCCGCCCGGAGCCTGGGGAGGGTTTTCCGGAAACCAACGTGTTTAAAAGACCGCCGGGGCGAAAAATAAAAAAAAAAAACAAGGAAAAAAACATATTACAAAATTTTTTTTCTTTCCCCCCCGCCTGCAAACGGGAAGGGGTTTTTCGCAGGGGGGATTCCCCGTTTTTCCACCGAAAAAAAAAAAGGGGGACGACTACCCCCGCCTCGACCCAAAGGGGGATGGTTGGGCGAGGTGCCGGGAAACCGCGGGGAATCTCGTTTTCCCCGGGGGCCCTGCCCCCCAAGTTTCTTCTTTTTTTCTTTATTTTCCGAAAACCCGCGAGAAGAGTTTCGAAGCCCAACCTCGCCGGGCGACAGTTGAGGACGAGGCCGCGGTGAACAAATTCGATTTCTTTTGCCCTCGCGGTTCCGTCCAGCCGCGGGTTTCCCAGGGCCCGGCCAAAATCAAACCGCCCCGAGCGGGAGGCATGTTTGAAGCGCCCCCAGCCCGCCGCTGTCTGCCAGAAAACGCCGTCTGGAAAAGTTTTTTAGGCCGAAACATTCGCCAAAACCATAGAACAAGAGGGGAAACGCGCGGGGGGCGGGCATTTCCCCTTTGGTTGTTCGTTTCTTTCTTTTCGGTGGGGGCTCGGGTGTTTTTTTTACTCTTTTCCCCGCGGGCCCGCTTTGCCAGGGCGGGAGGCGCGGGGACACCCCCTCCGCGAGGGGAAACCCCCCGGCCACAACCCCACGCGAGCACAAAAAAGAAAAAAGAAAGAAAGACCCCCAGCCGGATCCCACGCGGGTTTCCCACAGGTCCCGGCGGGGGCGGGCTCGCCCCGGGGAACAAAAAAGGGGGTGGGGGCGCGGCCCGCTCGTTTTTTTTTCTTTTGGGGGTTGGCTGCGCCGTCGCCCTGGTCGGGGGGGGTCGTGGCGGTGTGGTGTCCGTTCTGGGTGGGGCGTTTTTAGATGCGGTGTTTATTTTTTATTTTTTATTTTTTTTTTTTTTAGGCGTTCATCTTTTTTTAGTTTTTCGTAGTCCATGTTAGACGGTGTTGTTACTGTCAGGTTCTTCTTGTTTTGTAACGATATGTAGATGATTTATAGGTTCTTTTTTTCTTTTTTCTTTTTGTTTTAGGTGAATTTGTTAAAATACATGAAATTTTCTTCTCTCTGTATGTGTGAGTGTGTTTTTTTTCTTGTTTTTTTTTTTTTTTTTTTTTCTTATTCTTCTCCTTCTCTCATTTATTTAATTTTTCTAATTCATTGACAAACAATTTAACTAATAATGTTAAAATAAATAAATAAATAAATAAATAAAGGAGAAACAATATTAATAACATAATTCAAAGCTAGAAGTAAGAGAAATATGATATTAGCGACAGTTCTTGATGATTACCGAAAAATATGTAGAGATATGGGAATTACGCCTCTTAAAGAACTAGAAAAATCGCTGGCAATTTCTCCAGATCAAATTGACCTTAGCTCCTCCTTAATTTCATCTTCACATTTTGAAGCGATTCTTCGTTTGATTCAAGAGCGTTCTGAAATTGATAAACTGGATTTTAGTGGAATACATTTATCAACGTCTCAACTGATTCGTTTGTTTTCTTTATTAGAAGAATGTTGTATCCGTAAACTTGTGCTTAGGAATATGGAATTAGATGTAAAAAGTGGGGAAGCTTTAAAAAAGTTATCAATGGAATGCAAAGATTTAATTGAAATTGACCTTACTAATACTATATTACCTGAATTTATAGAATATATCATAATGGAACGGATTAAGCTTAATAAAATAGAATATGAAAAAAATATTCAATGTGAACAAAAAGCGGTTGGACCTGAAGCTTCTAATTTATGGAGGTGGAGACTAGAGTCTTGGTCAGAAGAAAATTCTACAAAGATGACTCCGACATCAAAATCCTTACAAGATAGTTATTCTTTACGAAATCTTTTGAGAAAAGTAATTGAACAACAAACTCTTTTTTCGGATAATGAATTCCCACCTGAATTGGCAATAAAAGATTCAAATATTTCTTGGATAAGAGTAAATACTCTTATACAAGATAAAAAGAAACTAGATAATTGTTGTGTAGGAGGAAGTCCCTTATCTTCATCAGTTATTAATGATACAAGAAACCTTTCGGCTGCTCTTAATATTGTTCAACAAATACCTTACTTAAGAAAATATATTTCTCTTCGTCAAGTTCCTGATGTGGGTTTTTTTGCATTTCGTTTTTTTATTAATGACTCACCAATAACTGTTATTATTGATGATATGATTCCTTTTAAAAATGGTACTCCAGCAGGGATTCATCATATTGAAGATAATGTAGATTATTGGGGATCTTTAGTTGAAAAAGCTTTTGCCAAAATTCATGGAGGATATGATAATATAGCAGGAGTAGGATTTGATTATGCACTTTCGGTATTAACTGGAGGAGTTTGTTTTGAAGTAGATTGGAATATTTTAAAACAACACTTTAATGAAAGTGAAATGTTTAGATTTATTAGACATTTAATTAACGCAAAAAAAGTCATTTCTACCTTGTGTATTCCACGAAATGAAATGGTAAAAAATTCTCTTATGGAAATTGGTATATGTCCAAATATGTCTTATCTTGTTACTGCTGTTGAAGCTATTAGAGATGAAAATCCATATCTTTCTTATGCTGTACAACTTTCATACCCAAGTAAAACGAAATATAAAGATGCAATATGTATTTCTCAATTAAATAATGATAATTTTTTAGTACCTCCAAGATTTTGGATGGGTCTTGAATATTGTTTGACATATTTTGAGAGGTTTTGTTTATTACTTTGGCCTTACGGTGACCCTCTAAATAATCACAAAATTGTTATGGAATATTCGTGTGATTGTTATGGTGGGTCAGATTATACTTCAACATTTGCAAAAAATCCTTCTTTTTTACTTTCAAATCCAGGATCATCACGATTGGAAATTATGCTTGTTTTACGAAAAAAAGATGAAGATAAAAAAAATTCTGAAAATTGGATTCAAATGCATATTCACAAAGCTAGTGATTCTGAAAATGAACTAGTGCGACGATACGATGTATGTGCTAGAAATGAATTACTTTCTACGAGAAAGGGTTATAAAGGAGAAATTGCTCTCGTTATTCGTCTTAGAGAAAATGAACGAGTACAGTTAACCACTTCAGCTTTTTCAAAATGTAATTGTGTTTTAAGAGCTACATGTGTTGAAAAATTTCAATTACAACCTCTTCCTTCACATTATGCATATACCCTTAAAGGTAAATGGAGTAAGGATTCTGTTGTAAAACCATCTTTATCTTTGACAAATAATAGCAAAGAAAAAGTTAAAAAACTAGTGGTAGTACTCTCACAAGAACCTGTTAATCAAAGATTGGTTTCTATTGGAATACAAGTTTGGTTAAAGAATGATCTCGAATTAGAAGACAAAGAACCATTTTTGGTTACAGAATTTAGAACAGATGTTGTTGTTGTTTTTAGGATTGAAATTGAGATGAAGCCAGATGATTCTATTGTAATTTTTCCATTGAGAAAAAGAAAAGTTGGAGATGTTAATTTTTCCCTAAGTGTTTATAGCAGATTTTCATTAGATGTAAATAATGGTTAGTCTGGTTTGCCTTATTATTATTATTATTATTATTATTATTATTATTATTATTATTATTATTATTATTATTATTATTTTTGCAGTGTATATGTACATATATTTGTGAGAAATGTGACAATTAATCTTCTCTCCAAAAGTCCTATGCTTTTGTATTTTTTATTAGTTTTTATTTTATTTTATTTCCTTACCTGCGTTTATGTATGTATTTGTATTAAATGTCGAGTAATTAATAATAATGGTAACAATAATAATATTAATAATAGAGCGTTATTTTTTTTTTTTTTCTTTTTTTTTTTGGATTTCGCCTGTTTGCGCATGAAAAAATATATTTTTTTCTTTTTGTTTTTCTAGTTCTTCACTTTAGGGTTTATTAAGGGAAGAAAAAGAGTGCTGAAAAAAAAAGGAGTAAAATAAATTGGAAGTTGAGTTAATATTTTCTTTTTATTTATTTATCAATGGTAGTTCAAACAAGATTTCTGAGAACCTCTAGAGTTGGTGCTTGGATAGCCCTTGGTAGAGAAAATATGGTACGTCTAGTAGATTTTGAGGATTTGCTCTGGGAATTAAATACAAATATATCTAACTGCAAAATTGCATATTGTAGCTCTGGAGGACCTTTAGCTTTGTACTCTGGAGGTCGTTTAAACTCTGATCAAGATGGGAATCATATTAGTTTGTATAATTCTAAAGGCGCTCCACATCCAGTAACTTCAAGTATTCGATTAGAAGGAATAGAGAGTGTTTTGTACATGTGTTGGAATGAATCTAATGATAATCTTATTGTTGTTTTAAATACAGGAGAAATTCGTTTTTTTAATTTAAAAGGGGAATTAACTGGGACACCTATTAGATTATCATTACCACTATTATATATAAATACTGGTAATGGTATTGCTTTAGTAACCAATGACAAAGGATATTCTCTTACTGTCTTGGAATGCAAACAAAATGGAGATTATCGTACGAGTTCGCTTGATATTCCTAATGATTTTAAAATTCAAAAACCAAATGTAATGCTGGCTATACCTCAACAATTTAGTGATACTGGATATACTGAAATTTTTATTCCATTTCTTTCTGGAGAAAATACCTCTAGTTTTTATCATTGCGTTTTTAATGCAAATTCTCGTTGTTATGATCTTCGTTTATCTATTGATGGTGGAAATGTAACTCACATGTCACTTTCTCCAAGTGCACAATCTATCGCTTTTTTAGTTCAAGATGGAACAATTTATGTTACATCACGCTCTTTTGAAGATGTAACACGTTTGCTTAATATAGAAACTGAAGTTTTACCTGCACAATTTATTTGGTGTGGAGATAAATGTATTACATATCTTCATTTAACTCAACAATTTGATGAAAATCTTGATTTTCCAACTACTTTAACTTTAATAAATGTGGATGATTCTAGTCAATCAGATTTTTTAAATGATATTCCTACAGATTCTTTTTTAGTTTCAGACTGTGATGGTATTCGAATTTTATCACAAAAAACTTATCAATTTCTTCAAGTTGTTTCAGAACCAAGTCGTCGTATTTTTTCTGTAGGATCTCGAGCAAATTCTGCAATGTTATTACTTGCATTTGATGAATTTATGTGTGGTAATGCATCCTCTGTAAAAATGATTCGTGATTTACAAAAAAATTCTTTTGGACTTTCGAATGCCATAGATGATTGTGTTGCAGCTGCCGGTTTTGAATTTGAAGTATCGCAACAAAAGAGATTAATGCGTGTTGCAGCTTTTGGAAAATCTTTTTGTTCCATGTATGAATCGGATGTTTTTGTTAATATGGCAAGACGTTTACGGGTTTTAAATACATTACGACGAAGTAAAGCAGGTATGTTAATGTCACAAGCTCAATTATTATCTTTAGAAGGAGATCGTTTAGCTGAACGACTTGTACAAATGAATCATCATCAATTAGCATACTACGTTTGTGAAATTTTAGGATATAGTACTCAAACTGTAATGACAGAATGGGCATTAGCAAAACTTGGTAAACATTTTATATCTATAAATACCGAAAAAGAAATTGCATATAATATTGCTAAAAAATTAAAAGAATTTAATCAAAAAAATTTTTCTGAAATTGCATATAAGGCTTATTTAAAAGAAAGACCTCATGCAGCTCTTATATTTTTAGAAGCTGAAAATATACCGACAAAACAAGTAGCAAGATTATTAGATATAAAACAACCAGAGATAGCACTTTCTAAAGCTATTAAAAGTGGTAATACCGATCTTTTATTTACAGTTATGATGTATCTTATTAATAATAAAGGTGCTAATGCTATTCCTTTATTAACTAGTGATTTCACTGCGCAAAGTATGCTTCTTGTATATGTTACAGTTTGTGAAAGTAATCGTGATTTACTTGTTGAATATTTTAGAACTCATCCAGAGTATAATACATATTTGAATATTTTACATTATTTAAAAGAAGAACAACGATCTGTAATATCTCTTAATCGAAAAAATAGCAATTGGGAAATGTTACAGGAAATTAAACTGAGTGCAATTCAATCAGCTGCGATAACAGCAAAACGAGAGATTATTACAAATGTTGGTAATAATGGTGGTACATTTGGAAGTGCTATTTCACACTCAATAAGTGTTGCCGGGTTTCCAACTAGTAATTCTTCTTCTTCTTCTCAAGGAAATGAAAAATGGCTTCGTGCACAAATGCAGCTTTTAAATGAACAAACGAAATTAATGAAGCAATTAAATGATAAACGTTTTCTTGATGCTAGTGTCGCAAAAACAATTACCCTTTGTTATGAATATGGTCAAAATGGAATAGCAGAACGATTAAAAAATGAATTTGGTGTGTCAGAGAAAATGCATTCTTGGTGTATGCTTAATGCTTATTCAGCAACTTGTAAATGGGATCTTATTGATCAGATTGGTGGAGTGAAAAACAAAACCAAACCAATAATTGGGGCTTCCGCCTTTGTGACAAAACTTCTCGCTTGTGATCGACCAGAACAAGCGAAGTTGTATATTTCAAAAGTACCACAAATTGAGCAAAGAATGGAGTTTTATGTATTATGTAATGATTGGATGGCTGCAGGAGCAGATTGTCGTCGCCATGGTGAACCTGAAATGTTTGCACAACTCAAGGAAAGGGCAAAAGGTAATGTTACAGCAATACATCTAATTGAAGAAGGATGGAATTCTGGTCAAGAATCAGGAGTTTTAAAGTTTACAAAGTTATTTACTTGAAGTTATATATATATATATATATATATATATTAGTTGTTTTTATGTGGTGTATAACCAATAAAGAAAAGAAAAAGAAAAGATAAAAAGAATTTTTTTTTTTGGAATTTTGTCAAATTTCCTTTTAAAAATAAGGAAAAAAAATAATAATAAATGGACGCTTACATTATTTATTTATTATTATTGTTATTATTTTTTTATTCCTTCCTTTTCATTCTTTTCCTGTAGTAGTTGACTTTTAGGAGTCTTTTTTTTTCTTCTGCAAAGTAAACAAACAGAGAAGAGTAAGGGAGACAAGGAAGATAAAAAAAAAAAAAAAAAAAAAAA